CTCAAATGCAGGTATATTTTTACTCGGAGATTTTAACAGATGTCCTGTCTCATCTTTATTAAGACATTTTACTTTGAAACAAATCGTAAAACAACCAACCAGGAAAGATGCTGTCCTTGATCTTATTCTTACTAATATGTCAGACACATGTGACCCTCCTAAGGTGATCGCACCCATCGGACTCAGCGACCATAATTCCGTTTTATGCATTTTAAAAAAATGTAAATCATTGAACGGATGCAAGAAAATAAACATTAGACCCGGTAACAGAGGTGCCAAAGTTGCATTTGGGAGATGGCTAACGAACTATAATTGGACTAACCTGTATCGTACTGCACCGTGCGAACAAAAACTGGAAATTTTTCAGGATGTTATTCATACCGGCTTAGACCACTTCCTTCCATGTAAAGTAGTTAAAATGCACGACCGAGATAAGCCTTGGATAACACCTTCATACAAGGAACTTATTAAAAGCAGACAGAAAGCATTTTTTCAGAAAAATGACAAATTGTACCGGCGACTACGTAATCGTGCCAATCGAGAAAGTAAGTACCTTAAATCTGCATTCTTAGAACATAAATTGAAACAATTGAAACGTAACCCTGATCCTAAGAAATGGTGGGACACCGTAAAACAAATAGCTGGCTACCCTAAGAAGAAATCTTTTTCAAGTATTGTCCTAGGAGAGCAAGTCGTCTCTGGAAAGCAACTTGCTGAAAAAATTAACGAGGCTTTTGTATCCGTTACTCGAGATATTCCTCCCCTTAGTCCTATCCCTTTCCCCGATAGCCAATTACAAAGCGATTGTACTACAATTCCAACCGAGTACATTATTAGGGAAGAAGACATTTATTATAAATTATCTTCAATATCATCCTCGAAAGCGGCTGGTCCAGATGAAATACCGAATTGGGTCCTAAAAGATTATGCGCCCCTGCTGTCTTCCCCTGTTACTTCAACCTTCAACGCCTCCCTTCAACAGGCGTCTGTTCCCGCGGTATGGAAAAAAGCCGACGTCATTCCTGTACCTAAAAATAAGGTGCTGAGGGACATTACTAAAGACTTGCGTCCCATCTCGCTTACTGCCACTTTGTCAAAAACGTGTGAACGTTTTGTCGCAGACTGGCTGATGGAGTTGATTGGTGAGAAGATCGATAAACGGCAATTTGGATCTCTAAAAAACTCTTCAACAACACATGCATTATTGAGCCTTCTCCATCACTTATTAAACGAAACTGATGTGCCGAAAAACGCTGTGAGAATTTTTTTATTAGACTTCTCCAAAGCTTTTGATCATATCGATCATAACATCCTCCTCAGTAAATTATCTGATATGGACGTTCCATCATTAATAACAAACTGGATAAGAAGTTTTCTTACTCAACGAAGCCAACGGGTCAGAATGCCCCATTGTGTGTCAGAATGGCAAATCCTCAACGGTGGAGTACCCCAGGGAACTGTTTTAGGCCCAATCCTCTTCCTAATCATGATAAACGACCTCCTCGCTGATTGGAAAGACCGATGGAAATACGTTGACGACACCACCACTACCGAAACCATTGGCCCAGATTGTAACAGCAACCTTCAAGAACTGGTTAATTACATCAATAATTGGACTACGAGTAATAATATGAAATTAAACATCGGAAAATGCAAAGAACTGGTTATTGATTTTGCAAAAAAGAAGCATTGCTTTCCCCTTTAACAGTCGATAAAGTTAATATTGAACGAGAGAAATCTGCCCGTATCCTTGGCCTCACAGTCCAAGATAACATGAAGTGGAATAAACATATAAATAACATAGTTAAAAAAGCTAGCAAGAGGCTCTATATGCTAAGACTGCTAAAAAGGTCCAACGCGTGTATTGACACGTTAATTACTGTATATACTACCATTATTAGGCCTGTTTTAGAGTACGCATGCCAGGTCTGGCATTACAATATCCAACAATATTTATGTGACGATATTGAAAAAATACAAAAACGCGCGTTGAGAATAATCCTTCCATCGCAAAAGTACGACGAAGCGCTGATCACGACTAACATCACGTCACTGAGAGATCGACGAGAAAAATTATGCGAACATTTCTTTGAGAAGAATATTGACAATGAAAATCTCAAAGATCTTTTACCACAAACAGTTTTATCTGGATATGATCTAAGACCGATATGTAAATATCATAATTATGTTTGCAGAACCGAACGTTTTAAGAATTCGTTTTTACCTCAAAGTATATTAAAGATTAACAGTAAATAAGTTTTTAGAAATGTAAATAATCTTAAATATGTAATTATTATGTAATTTTAACTTATCCTCTTAATTTATGTAATACTGGTGTAATTTAACCTTTTTGGGTTACAAAGTCAGTAGTTATTAAATCAATTCAATTTATTGGTTGTATTTATATGATCCAGTATCCCTATGATCCTGTATCCCTATCTACTTCTCTACTACACATTACACCCAGTACCACGAAAGTTGCCATTTTCAGGCCAGTGTGAACGCCTGAGCAGGCGTCTTGTTTGGAAATAAAAAGATATTCGCTGTCACGTATATTGCGTTTTTTCTTCAATAATTGTATTTTGCTTAATTTAGGTAATGCGTTATCTTAATACCATTGTAATAAACCACAAAAAGATCCTGGACCTTCTAGGATCTAGTTAACATCTACGCTTCTCACGAATCACGAAAATAAGTGTTTACAAATTTGAACTGCGACAACTATCTACGTGAAATACAGCGTGATGACCTCCAAATGCAATTTAGAACTGACAGAGCTATGCATTATCATGCAGAACTATAAAGTTAGGGGCGGCGATACAGAGGGTAGGGAGTAAACGTGTGCGTGTTTGTAAGAGGAGGGAGTTAGTTTCCCAAATAATATCAGAGTAAGACTTAAATAATATTTTGTTGTTCTGTTGTTTATTAAGATTTATACAGTTGTCCAATTCGAGGTCCAATTTAGCTGAAATTTAGCCACCCATGGCCGTAGTTAGACGCGATAATTGGGGGGGGGGCGGGGTGTATATTCATATATTCATGTTCACATACCGTAAAAGGAATTTTTCAAAAGGAATGCGTCGGGCAGAACACGAATATATGAATATGCACACCCCCCAATTATCGGTCCGGTGTAGCTACGGCCCTATAGCAACCCCTCCTCCCCGCAAAAAAATTAAATTTAGTTGAATGAACATTTCAAAACATTTTACGAAGCGTTTCAAGTTAAATTGTACATTAAATCAAAGCTCACAAAATGCAAAATAACATACCTACAGTATATGTTTCGGAAATTCATTTTTGTATAGCTAAAAGTTCTAATCATTCAACAATTTTGCAGTGTAGGGAAAAAAATTTTAAAAATTGAAAATTGAAAAATATCGTTTTCATGGCAACACTTGAACGCAAGACTGCGTTAATTCATTGTTTGGAAAATATAGTACATTAGTATTTTTCATGCACAAGTGAATATAACAAATCCTACAAGTTGATTGGTCAAATTTGACGTATTAATCTGTTATAATTTATATACAGGTGAACATAACAAAACCGAAAGTTTCAAAATCGCGGCAAGCCGTTTTGTGGAAGTTACTGATGAAGAAATAAGCGAATTTAAAATACATTCAGTCCCAAAAAACACAAACGACTTGCGTAAAAATACTAAAACAATTATTCGCCTCAGGCTTGGTGATTATCGGGGAATATTCCTCGATAATCCCCGAGTATAATAAGTAATATTCCCCGATTATCACCTCACCTTGTTAAATGTTAATTCAATGTTTGGAAAATATAGGCGAGGGGTTTCTGCTTGCATGTATTTCTAGCATTAGTCTTTAAATCCTGGTAAAATGGGAATAAATCCACACCCATGGCAGCTTCGTGTCCACCTCGCGCAAAAAGACATTAAAAAGTGACTGAGTTGATGTCCAATAGTTCCTGAATTTCCGCCTTCTTTCGTTTCACTTTTTGGACCCGAGTTGTCGCTCCAGATATATATGGGGCTGACAGCACACAGCGTGCATGTATCTTGTAATGTAACGTGTATATGAAAAAAATGATCGTATGTTTGTCGCGTCTATACTGTACAAAAGTTTATACCGTACGCAGATCCCTCAATGATCAGAGCAACTGCCTTTCTCTAATGGATTTATTTCGCTTAAAAGGTTGTCCAAGAAATTGGCTACATCAAAACGGCTTCTGCTATTTGAACACCAAATATTCCATGCCTTATGACAAAGGACAAAATTTTTGTGAATATTTCCTGGACAGTTCATTGGTTGACGTGTCGGACGAAAGAGAAAATAAGCTCATTAGTAATCTTACGTCATCGAAAGCCTGGCTAAGATTTAGACGATGTCATAACAAGAGGTTCTTTTGGACAGATTCGCAGCCTGCAAATTTTACAGCCTGGGAGAGTGGTCAGCCTGATAACAAGGGTACAGATGAACAATGTGTATTTATGTCAAGAAATGGAAATTGGTCGGACGGAATTTGCTTGGAAAGGAAAGCGTTTGTGTGCCAGAAATGTAAGTTTGCCATTTAGGTACACCTGAACGCTACACCTTCAGATAAAGTCGCCCGTGTTTGGCTGAAGCCAAATCTAACGCCCCAGACACGCGTGTTTTTTTTTTCTCGCGAGACAGAGCATGCCCCGTTTTACTGAAAGAGTATATGCATGATGCTAAACTTCCAAAGATGGCAAGATTTACATAATTATATCACATAAGAAAATTTCCTTTTTGAAAAGAATGTGGTGGCACAGTGGCTAATTTTATATTTGTAATGTTTTATTTTAATACAAATTGTAGGAAAATGGCCTCAGCCGATTTAAATTAAAATTTAAATTATTTGCAGGAAATTAGCCAATCAAAATTGAGAAAATAATCATGCGAATGATAACTCTAGGAACTTGCAGTTGCCCGTCTATTTTTTAGCGAAAACAGTTATTTGTACAGATTGTTGGACAGAGCTTTAAATATTGGAGCGGTGTTTTGTATCGGGGTATACAACTTAGCCTTTGGCATATGATGATAACATTGACTTCGGTTTGAAACATTCTGGATATCCTGCTAGACCTCATCCGATCATTTGTTAAATATATTATGATCATTTCTAATTCCATAATTTGTGGCCTATGACAGGCTGCAGTGGTTCTTATCTGCTTCCCTAAGTATGTAGTGTGTTGTTGAGAGTACTACACGAATAATAGCTAATTAAACGGCGCCTCGAAATTTGATAAAATGCAGGGGCTTTTTTATTTATATACAAGCAAAACGTTGGTAACAACAAGAATTTAGAAGGGAGGTTGTATATTCTGGGAACTGAACCTTAGTTTGTGAATCTTTGTCATGTTTGAATGGTTCAATGTCTTTTTAAAAATGTAAAATATTGCGTAGTAAAACTTTTCCAGTGGATTAGCATACCCGAGACCCTATAGATTTGAGTTGTTGGAAGCCAGTCTAAACAAGTAATTAATTAGTGCCCGATTTGTGGTGATTACATTAACATACCATGTAAGTTCTTAACTGAAGATTCCGTCAACCAACAGTATAATGTTAGTAACAGTGTATATCCAAAAATCTGTTTTAGAAAACGTTCGAAATTCAGTCATTGGGGTGGAAAAATGCATGCAAAACATTTCTGGGGGAGAATGCTCCCAAACCCCTACTATTACTTACGACACCATACCAAACGTTTTGTCACCAACAACCATCTTTTATCTCTCCATACTTAGTATAGTACGGTCCCTTTCTTTCCCCACTGACTGATTATAAAAAAGGCCCTTGTAAAATTGTGTTGAGTACCAAAAAACAGATTATGTTTTTGCATTTGAAATAGCATTCAATATCACGCATATAAACATACGCTTGCGAATACCTGCTCTTAGAACATCCATTTTAAAGAGGAGTTGAGACCCATCTTCTGTTTCATCCTGAAGTCGTTTTTGTATTTTGGGTGCTTAACTACTGTTCAGGCTGAATTTTAATCATTATTATGCTAGATATGGGCTCGCACTGGTGTCCAGGATCTCGGGGAAAAGGTTCTAAAAGTGCCTGGATGATAGTGTGATCAACTGCCCGAGATTTTAGCAGCTCTTATTTTTGGGATGTTTTGTAAAAAATAAATGTATATTTTAACTTAAAGTTTGGTTGTTTCATAAATTAATTTTCTCCAATAGTTTGGGCGTATAGTTGCCTAAATTTCAGGTCGGTAGTTTTTAACCAACTGAGTGGTTTTTACATGTACTTCACGTTGTAAATGTATAGTGTGATTAGTATTTATAATATAGCATTTGTAAATTCTGAACGCTGATTGGCTAAGAGCCGTGTTGATATAACTCAATGTCAACACGGGAAATTTTCCGCCGCTTGTAAACACGGAAATGTTTCTTATCTTTCGGGCTTTTGACATTGCAATATTATAAAAAAAAATATAAAACATTTTTTCCGTATTGATATATAGTTATATCAACACTCGTGGAAATTGGGAAAACTCGAAATTGTGTGAAAACACTCCGCCCTTCGGGCGTCGTGTTTCCACACAATTTCTCGTTTTCCCAATTTCCACTCATGTTGATATAACTGTATATCAACACGGAAAATGTTTTATATTTGTTAAATGTAATAGTATGGTTTCGAGTGCAGTTTGGGAGAAAAAAAACATGCCCGAGTGAGTTTTTCAAAGACTATCAAAATTGCACGAGTCCAAAGAACGGGTGCAATTTGAATTAAGAAAATTAAGAAATTTGAAAAATAAAAAATTAAGAAAATTATAAAAAATAAGAAATTTGTACTGCATTTCTTTTTTTGCACTGTATTTCATTTTTGGCATTGTAATTTGAAAAAATTTCATTGCTCTTAGCCAATCGGAATTGATAAATTGTTTCATGTATATTATTAGATCATATATAATCTATTAATATGATCAATTCCTTTATGTACTGTTTACAACATGAGCGGCTGTGTTGTATCGGATATACAAACTCCAGTTGAAGTAAATCTCTTGTGAACCGTCATGATGAGAACATGAATTCGTATTCTTCAACAATTTAGATTCAATGAATGACATTTGGTGAGAAAGTTTATGTAAATCAGCATGATTTTCAATCAGATATACTCATATACAAACTCCTTCACCCTCGTGATTTCTTTCTGTTTTCTTCATAAATTATTAATAAATTTCACAATAATTTTAGTGAAGGCAGACTGCACTAACGACACAGATTGCTATGTGGTTAAGACGTCCAAAGCGAAATGGCAGGAAGCAAGATCAAGATGTCAAGCAGACGGACTCCGTTTGGCAAAAATCTCTAATCCTACAGAAAATAATGCAGTAAAAACAATTCTTAAGGCAGTGACTCAAGCGTGGATTGGGTTAGAACGACAAAATAATTTCTGTATTAAGACTCCTATATCGTACCAAAATTGGGATTTTCATGAGCCAAATGACAAAGGATTGGTTGAAAATTGTGTCGCAATTGGAAGTCAAGGGAAATGGAGTGATGAAGATTGTAATGCAAGTTTAGCAATCATTTGTAAAAGAGGTATGATACTGATGTTAATGCATTTGTCTTTATGTCTGTGCAAGGGCGTTGACGCTAGAACGATGGAATGGTAATAAGGGTCACATTTTCGTCCGCATACGCGAATGCCATTTTCATGGACATTAATTTATTCGTAGTGTACAACTCTAAAGTATTCTCTAACTAAGCAAAGTTACACTTCATCCAACTTGAACTTATCTCCCAATATGATCGGAGACAGTGAAGGTACGTGTTGCGTACTTTTAGAACAATGTGGGAAAAAACATAAGGCTGACGAACATGCTCTCTCGTGCGCTATTTCGTAGACAATGACCTTTAGCAGCAAGTTTTTGTGTTAGAAGACACTGGTACCCATGCAAGATAAATTTAGAGGGGAAAGGAAATGAATTGATTGACGTTGATTACCATGCTGTCTACATTAACCGCGTAAAAATGTCACAATAGTTTGTCAGCAAAATAATGTGTTCGCACTGCCTGTTATCATCTTGCAACAAGATTGGTGAGATCAACAGAGTCAATACAAATTCATATATTAACAAGTCTGATATCGCCTACGCAAATTTTTTCCCCGTAGACAGTCGGACTCTTCATTGATAGTCGGATACATCATTGACCCGCGCCCTTAAATAAAACATTCAGCGGATACTCTTCCTATTAGATGCGCCTCCCAGTGTGTCTTGCACACGCAATTCGTGATTTCAAAATATTATATTGCTTGGTTGAGATGCCAAAATCTGAGCAGGAATGCCTTTCAAACATCATGGATACGATGTATTAATACATTTATATAGGTTAATAATAAATAGATTGATAGATTAAAATCCCATGGTGGTAAACAGAGGGTGGTAAAGGAAGCTACGAGGCATACAATTGACTTAGCATTAATAAATTAAATTGTCATAGTGTTAAAGGTAGCTCTATATTTTATTGAATGCGCGGATACATGGTTACGAAGTCAAGTAGTCATTTTGAGATTAAGGCATATAGTTAGCATTAATAGATTAAATTATCATGCTATAGGGAGCTAAATGTGGTGTAATATATATGTTCCTCACAACCGGACATGCATTGGTGTTTGACATATTATGATTAATTAGCGCCGCTGGGAGAAAAAAATTATATTATAAAGCATACTAAGCATAGTATCAATCATTAAAAGTCATGCATATTTCCTTTCCTTTCCGCATCAATTCGTAATATTGTCTTAGTAATTAGTTTGTGTATATTAGCCGAGCCAATGATGATGATGATGATGATGATTTTATTGATCCATCTTTAGTTTAAAAATACAATGGATTTACAACAATGTCTATATTAAAGAAGAAGAGCATAACTAGGCATGCAATAATATTTACAAACTATCGGAAATTTTTATATATACAATTTGGAGTAAAAATTTAAAAGTCTAGGAAATTAGTAAAAAGTTAATAAAAACCAAGTTAAGTTTTAATGCAATCTCATTGCGCCTGGGATAAAACTATTTCTGTGTCGTTCAGTGCCTGAAAAAGGTGCGTATTTAAATATACCGTCTCTACGCCTAAGATTATAGTTATGTTGATTATGTTCCATAGTTCGTTGATAAAAGATATGACATTATAACTTGGATCACCTAACTAAAGATAGTATCGAGTTCTCTTGATGTGGTTTCAATTCTTCTCTCTTCGAGAGGTTGGCAGGTAACCATGTGGGAGGCCAATAATTCGCAGACTCCTCCTTTGTACACGTTCCAATTCGTCCTTTAGATATCGTGACCACCCCACACTGGAGAACAATATTCAAGGATAGGTCTGATTTTAGTTAAATAAGTGGTGAGACCCACTTCGACTGGTAGGTTCGCTTTTCTACATTCTCTTAGGCAGTACACGTTTTTAGCTGCTTTGCGAGTGGTCTCCTCGACATGTTTATTCCATTTCAGATCCTTTTGAAACCAGGTTCCCAAGAGTTTGAAATTAGCGACTCTTCTATGATAGCATCTCCTATATGCAGTTGTAGAGAGAGTAAGAGTGGTATACGCAGACAATAGGGCCATTTAAACGGGACAAAATAAGTCGCGACTTACACAAGACGCGTCTTATATAAGCGGAGTTATCGCATAAATGGTTCTAACTACGGCTTTAGTCTTATTTACTTGCTATAGCTATGTTGTTTCGGTTGTTTTTGTTTTAATATGCAAGACAAGTAATTTTACGTTGTTTCAAGTTTCGGGTATGTGTAGTTAGAATTTTTGTCCAAAGTTATTTCAGACGCGACTTAAATAAGAACAACTGAAAGACCTGTTCTTATGTAAGACGCGTCTTATCCAAGACGCGTCTTACATAAGAATTTTGTACCTTTTATACGACAAACTCGCGTCTTATTTAAGTCGCGTCTTATGTAAGTCGCGTCTTATTTTGTCTCGTTTAAATGGCCCTAATGTTGCGTTCCACTATCAATTAGGAGACCGACTGTCTACGGAAAAAAAATTGCATCGCCTACCTTCATCAATCTTTTAACAACGTAGTGACAGCTTGCCAATGCTACAGTAACTGTACATTCATGTCACAACAACTGGGAACAAGACGTGCGAACAAATCCTGATATCTCCTTGACAACAACCTTGTTACAACTTGTTTTCAGATCTGTATAACAACTTGCGCTATTTTACGTGTATACGATACAGGCTGATTTTCCTTTGCTTTTGCTCGTGGATTGTTAACAAGTTATTTATAAATTTTTTTTTTCTGTGTTGGTGTTGTGTACTCAGGTGAATAATATGTTTGCGATGTTACTCTGAGTGCATATCCACACCGGGCGAGCTTGAAAAATATGCCCGGCCACGGTGGGATTCGAACCTACGACCTTTTGAATACTAGCCCAATGCTCTTCCAACTGAGCTACGCGGTCAGCACGGTTCGAGTAAGTGATATTTCGGAATAGTATCTAGTTCCTTCAATACCAATGTGTTCTAGTAATATGAATTTTTTTTTCTGTGTTGGTGTTGTGTACTCAGGTGAATAAAATGTTTGCGATGTTACTCTGAGTGCATATCCACACCAGGCGAGCTTGAAAAATATGCCCGGCCACGGTGGATTCGAACCTACGACCTTTGGAATACTAGCCCAATGCTCTTCCAACTGAGCTACGCGGTCAGGACGGTTCGAGTAAGTGATATTTCAGAACAGTATCTAGTTCCTTCAATACCAATGTGTTCTTGTAATATGAATTTTTTTCTGTGTTGGTGTTGTGTACTCAGGTGAATAATATGTTTGCGATGTTACTCTGAGTGCATATCCACACCGGGCGAGCATGAAATATATGCCCGGCCACGGTGGGATTCGAACCTACGACCTTTGGAATACTAGCCTTATGGAATACTAGCCCAAAGTAGAAACACGTGTTTGAGTGTGGGTTTCCAAATTACCAGAAATGTTTCTATAATTGTAAGGAAGTACAGGAAAAAAATTGTATTTCTTTCATAATATAACTGATTTTATATCAATTGATTTGTATAGGTAATAGCATAGTTTCGAGTGCAATTTGGATATAACATGCACGAGTGAGTTTTTCAAAGACCTCAAAATAGCACGAGTCCGAAGGACGAGTGCTATTTGAGGTCTTTGAAAAACTCACGAGTGCATGTTTATCCAAATTTCACGAGAAACCATGCTATTACTTATTAATAATTTACATAAAAATGTTCGAGTCAATTGTAGTTTTAGTCTAACTTACGCGTTTATAGCGAACATTCCACTGGCAAAGTTTTTCTGGCTTTGTTATATCACATTATACAACGCTAACAGCTTGAAAATTCCACTCAACTATGTAATTTTTGTTTGTCTTGTTTAAGGTGCATGCTTTTCTATTTAAAAATAAAGATAAAAGCCATATTTTCCATGCGAAGGCAACTTTTACTTTGTGTAGCGCGGCGCTATGTCTCTTTTGTTTTGAAGCAATCTGTGACCGTTACTTCTCTAAACTAAATTGCTTTAAACTGATTGGTTGGTTTAAACATCACAATGTTTTTTTTCACCAATCAGATCAGTTTTTTACAGATTTTTGCACTGTGATTACAGAAAATTGCACTGTGATTACAAAAAATTGCACTGTGATTACAGAAAATTGCACTGTGATTACAGAAAATTGCACTGCTGTTTGTTTGAGAGTAACTGCAATGAAATCAACCAATCACAGTCGAGTAATATCTTTATGTATATTATTAACAAATTAACATTAAATTAGCCTAAAATCCACCGGATCGTTTTTCTCGTCAATTTGATCACGTTTATTTTCTCGTCAATTTGATCACAAAATAGTATAGTTGTTCTCTGCTTAAACTGAGAATTTTCTTTTCCTTCTTGTTGTTCTTTGATTTAGTTAACAAAATCAAGTAGCTATTATCACTACACCTTTTTCGATAACAGCTGTCAACTTTTTAACTGAAAGCTGCGACCAATCAACGGTTGTGTGCTATAAATTTTGTTATAATTGTAAACATTTATTTATTTTCAATGATTTAGATGTGGATGAATGTATTCAAAAAGAAGCTTTTGGATGTGATGAAAACTCTGTATGTACAAATACTTTGGGCTCATTTACATGTAGCAAGTGTAAAGATGGATATTCACGTGATGACAATAAATGTTCACGTGAGTATTAATTGTTTCGTTACGTAACAAAAGTCAACCAAAATGTTCACGCTTTGTTACCGTCCTTTTTTTCGAAGAATGTCGACGTCCGACTTTTATAGACTGTTTTTCTGTCTCCATTCTCCTCAAAGTACAGTGTCTCACCATCTATCAATTGAGGACAGGCTTACATGAAGTACGAACAAAAAGGCAGTGCATTTTTTATTATTTTTTCTCATTTTCGTGTAATAAAGATACAATATTTGACCTAAATTTGTCATACAAAGTTTCCAATTTCTTAAGAATGTTTATAAAATCTTCACAAAATTACACAAAATTTAGAGTATGGAAAGAAAAGTTCACAAAACTTATAAACGATACTAGACTTGCCACAAGTCGACCATGGGGGAGGGAGGGCGCGGGGGAGGGGCGCGCGACCCGAGCGACGAAGTCGCGAGTGGTCGACTTGTGTCCCTTGCAGGAATTTAAATCGCATTAAAAATTTTGGCGCTAATAATTTTGACATATTAAAAGGTGTGTACATTTCATACAATTACTTCACCGCGCCGACAATGGGTCTACAAAAACAAAAACATTCTCTAGACTAGAATTGATATTTCTTGGTCGTCGAATGAAACAGTTCGCACCAAGTGTGGAAACGAAATGACTGACCCAAGTTAAGTAAGCGCCGAAAGCTGTTCAATGTATCAACAAAAACAAGTGCATGTAAAAACTGTAAAAACTTATTGAAGCTTCACAGTTGTTTGTCTATTTAAGCAATGTGTGCCGTAATTATGTCGACAAGAATAATCTGACTCAGTTCGCCAGCGATTTTATTACCGTAGCTAGTAGAAGTTAATCTATAAATTGAAAAGAATCAGACAACTGTATTAAACCAAGAAGCAGAGAGGCGGCGATTGTGATCAACTAGAAGACGTCGCTGCTCGCTAGAATTCAAATTCCAGTAAAAATACGCGTTGTTTTCTCAGCAAGTGATTTGTAATAATCAGTAATCGAGATCAAGAAACCCAAACTAAACCCGAAACTAGTGTGGAAATTTTAGAATCATCAGATGCATCTTCGGTGGCAGTATTAAAGTTTATTTCTACACCCTGTACTTTATACTCAATCTAATGTCTGTTTTGTGTATTTTTACAGGGTTTTTGTGTTCTACAAAATTGTAATTACATTGTTTACTCTGTTTGCTTCAATAATACACATTTTGTTCAACAAAGAGCCTCAGAATATAATATTATTGTTAGACTCCTTCGATAATGACCTCTGGATAATGACCGATGTAACCGCTTCGGCCTTCAATGTAAACAATGACGTCACCGGTGGATTTTTCCACCGGTGATATTTGGCGCGCTGCAAGTGACAAAAGTCCTTTCCACAGAGGAAGTGAAGCGCGCCATAGAAGGGCCTGGAAAGGACTTTGGAAAGTCTAAAACGATACTTGCGTGACTGGTTTATATATACGACCGATTTGTAGCATGTTTGCCTGAACAAGGTGTAGCAATGTTTTCACTTTATCTGGTCGTTTTCACATTTTTCGCACATATGAATGTTCCTACAAGCGGATGCCATGCTGTCTCCTCATTACTTACTCCTCGGTTTATGCTCGCACCATTCGTTCTTAGCTCGTTGAAAAGTTGTTACAAGTCTACAGCACGTCAACAGACTTCCTTTAGAGAGTTGTCCTCAAAGCTGATATCAGGTTGTTTGCACTTCTTAGCTTATTGAATGTTGTTTTACGCACTACCACAGACTTCAATCATTTTTAAAAGCCGTTAGAACCCTTGCGGTTTTAGATCATCAAGAAATATATGTAAATTAGTACAAACATTCATATCTCTGCCCTCCCCATTCCATGTTGTTAGCCAGAGCAACCAAACTTTTGTTAACCAAAGTAAGATGCCAACTGAGACCCAATATTGAAAAGGGGGCCGGGGGGAGGGGTGTCGAAATTTATCAAAATAGCACGTAGTTGGGGAATATGTCCCAACACATTTTAAAATGATTGTTGCTAAGTCAGGGTCCTCGAAATAACTTGGCAATCTCGCCTAGCTGCATGCTAGCTCGTTTCCCTATGAGTGATTATTCCTCGTTCTCCCCAACTCCCACACGTGTTTCTATAACTGGAAAGAAACCCAGACAATTCTTTCTATTTTTTAAATATCGTAACATGAAGAACGACCGTCGTTTATCACAATATTGTATTCTTGCAAAATTTTACCGTTTCACGCTTGCGTTGAATATTTTACGATTCACATGGAAATTATTTGTGGCTTTGATGTTCCGGGACAACTACTTGTCGCGGGGTAGCTTTCTGTGCTGAGATCATGTTAACAGGGTTTTAGTAATGTATGTTTCACCCGCTGTATTTGTACCGCAAGATTCGTGGAAAAGAGTGTAAACGAATAAATTCGTACTGTATTTGCTCATATTTAGGTACAAACATTCCTGGTATTGTTCTTGGTGCTTTGTTTGGAGTTTCCTGTTTGGTTATATTAATTCTGGTTTGCTATATTTTGAGAAAGAAGAAAAGATGGATATAGAGGATCTACCGTGCACATGAACCAGGAAATGAACAAGGCATTAAAAATCCGCGCATTAAATGGTTGATCTTAAAGCCTGTTTTCCACTAGGCGGAATTTTGCGCGCGGAGCGGAATTTTTCTTTGTCTTGTGATTTCTCGGGTGGAACTAATTAGAAAAGACAAAGAAAAATTCTGCTCCGCGCGCAAAATTCACCCTAGTGGAAAACGGCCTTTACCAAATATCAAGCGAGAGGGCGTTCGGAGACTGCACCTCCTCCAGCAATTAAGTCAGATATCATGCATAATTAATACGCATTTAATTTACTCTACCATGCGGCTAAGCAAGAAAAACTTTTGCTAATTTGTCATCCACTTTCCATCCAAATTTAAGCAAAATTTTAATCTATTTGTCTTTGGGTATATAAACAAGAATTAATCAATGAGGGCGAGTTATCTATGAGCGAATAGTTAACGAAGTCGTAGTTCAGACTACTCGCTCTAGACAACTAAGCCGAGTGGTTTATCTGTTTTAGTATTTAATCCCACTCAAGATACAAACTCCAAGCAGGCGGGAGATGTCGATGCAAACAAAAATACATTTTAAGGAGGGAGGGAGCCTTAAAATATTATTGCTATAAACCTAAATCACATTTTAGACAAAAAAATTTAAAAGATGAGGAATCCATATTATTAATAGTCTGCGCACAGACTGTCCCTTTTCCCCCGTGATGCAGTCTGCAAGCAGACTATATTATTAAGTAATGCAGGATTTGTGCTGACCCTGGTTGAGTGTAGCCTATAATGTATATTATTCTAGTCACACAGATGTTCTTACTAATATACAAGGGAGCAGTGTTGTAACGAGTCACCTATAGGTCGAGTCACGAGTCGAGTCATTTCAGTTTTTGATCGAGTCGAGTCGAGTCAGTGGCGTCACTCGAGTCGAGTCAGCAGTTTCACTCGAGTCAAGTCGAGTCATTGGTTTAAGTCTAGTCGAGTCAATAGCTAGACATAACGAGTCAGGGAATTTGATCAAGTCCACCGACATCCTTGTCCCCAGGGCCTCTCGGCCGCGCGCCTCCTCCCTAGGCCCTGGAACATACAGAACCGGAAGTGCAAGTAAACTTGCAGTAGTTTCTAAAGCGCATGGTCTTGAACTGGGACACTTTAGCACCCGTAACAATTTTCAAAGTGAAGTATTACGAAGAAACGAAGTATGACATATGTTGATAGAATAATTTTTCCTAGCTAAAACTGCTCAACTTCTGCGAAATAGGATTTCTCTGAGAAGCCAATCAGATCTCTCGCTTTAGTCGCCTAACCCATAGCCTACTTTTCAACGAGTGACCGAGTGAAAATGGCTCTGGGGACGAGAATGGTCCACCTCACGCTTTTTGTAATGGTTCGCTACCCTGGCTTGCAGTTTGAAATTAGTAATCAAATCTACGTTTTAAGCTAATCACTTTAGTCATGTAATAACAGTATCTGGGCAGCCGTAGGCTGTACCAATATCACAGTTCTAGTCAATATTAAGTACAACCACATGAGATGTCTCATCATGCCTGCTGATCGAGTGTACGTATATACAACTAGCATAACTTGCAACTGGAGTCAGAATTAACAAAGAATAGACTTTAATTAACCATGCTTTGTAAGTTAATTTGAAATTATATAGCACTTCATAAATACCAAAAATGAAGATAGCTAAGCCGGTCAGAATTAGCATAAGTACAAAAAAATTTGAGACTCCATTTTAAAAACAGTGGCACTAGCGTTGTTTCTAAAAACAGAAATGTAATATAGGAATGCCCGTCAGGAATATACTGTATTTTATGCAAATCCCATATATTTTCTGATAAAGTTTCGAAGTTCTCATTATTCACAGGGCTCATTCTTCTTCCCAAGCAATACAATCACAATATTTTTGATGAATTTATTCTCTACAAGTTGTAGCTGAGTTGACTCGAGTCATTTACGGCAAAATCAGCAAGTCGAGTCCGAGTCGAGTCATGCGGGGCTGTTGACTCGAGTCGAGTCATTTTCCGTTTTGGACTCGAGTCGAGTCGAGTCGCTGAAAATAGTAACTCGAGTCGACTCGAGTCCGAGTCAATGACTCGACTCGTTACAACACTGCAAGGGAGCTTAATGCGTGATTCGTTGACGTTTTTTTATAGGTTAACATGTTTGGTCAAACATGTTAAATTAATCTATTAAAAAACTAACATGAATCGCCACGATAATTAATTAAACCATTCAGTATCCCTTCATTTATTTAATATGAAGTGGAGCTTAATATTCAAAAGGGGGAAGGGGAATTACTAAATTTTTCTTCCAAAAAGTGGACGTGAGAAGGCTAGGTAACATATTTCACTGGGCAGAGCTTAACAGGGAATTGTTGACTTTAAAACCACGCTATGCCTTTATAATAAAGATGTAAATATACTTCACGATTAACACTTATAAATAAAGGAAACTATAAAGTTGTTACTTTCGTATTTACTTTAGTAATATCCGCGCTGTTAATTAAGTCATTGTGAGGCTGGTAAAAGTCAAACTCACCAAGGCCAAAACAGACTAAATATATTGTTGAAGTGTGAGTTGCCCACAACAGGGTACATGTTCGATCCACGTTTACGGTTTGGGCATGAATCTTACAGTAGACTCCTTTCATGATGAAGTCACGTCACTACAGCTTCCAGATTTAAAGCATGTATGCGGTAATAACTGAGGATAAGAGATGCAATTCGTGTTTCACCGTCTTGGAAAAAGCGGCAAGTGCCTGATTGGTCACGTGACCAGATGAAATTTTAATTTACACAAAATTTCTTTCAAAAGCTAATATTTGCATTAAAACTACAAACATTTAACCCACAGAATTTAGTTACCCGATTAGTCACAGAATTCTTGTTTATTTCTAACCAATTATATATTTTTTACTTATTAGAACACTTTATTGCATCTGTTTTCACGGTTATTACTCAATAAGTGGTTTAATTCTGTTAGCTGCCTTTGGGCAACGTCACCATGAAAGGGTCTATACGCAGTTTTATGAAAATTTTGCCAGCATATATTAGGATGGAGAAGTGTGCCTCATTACGATTTCACTGTGCCACTATCATAAAGATATCAAGCTTTCTTTTGTTCCAATGGTTTCCGTGAAATTGAGCAATACACGCTTCCGAAAAATACGTCACCTTGTCGATTGAGCCTAATTTTCGTGACTCAGACGTTAGACATTCATCATTTACAGACCTGGAGAGAGGGGAATTTGGCGAAATACTACCCGAAGTTGTGAAAGCCACGACGGAAATATCATCACTGGGGTTAACATTTCGCAGAGTCTCCCGAGCGGAGGGTCTATAAAATGAATGATATATATTATACTGAAAATTAAAAGCTTCAAAAGTTGAGAATATAAAACTTGCCACATAGCTTCGTGAATACGATGTTCTATTTTTTATTGACGCAAGTATTTGTCACTTGTCTTTCGAATCACGGACAAGATCATCATGGGCAAGTCATCATGGACAAGACGTTTCTTACTAATACTAAAGGTTCGTCTTCGACTATTGGTATGGTATTTCATCGATCGTTTCACAAAAGCTTTCAGAATTTCTTCATTAAAAATCCCATGCAGTGTTCATTTGCCGGAATATTGGACTCGAATCAGATGTAGCCTACACATTAGCTTCTTAATTAAAAATATTTTTGTTTGTAGTTTAAAACTTCATAATTAGCCATTCCGAAGTTGATGAGTGGACTGGGGACGAATGTTAAAAAGTGCCCAAATTAAGAAATGAACCACCTCTCTAAAATGACCACCTCAAAATTAGTAAGTATACAAAGTTTGAAGACGTTTACATGAATATCCTTCGAATAATAAGCTTTCGAAAATCGCGATATTTACTATGAAATGTAATTGTAATTTTTGTTTTTGGGACGCGCGTCCCAAAAACCAATCTTTTAATCAGTAATTTCACAATTTTCAAAAGCTTATTATTCGAAGTTGATGAGAGGACTGGGCACGAGTGTTAAAAAGTCCCCAAATTAAGAAATGAACCAAATAGCTAAAAAGACCACCTCAAAACTAGTAAGTATACAAAGTTTGAACACGTTTGTCTTCAACCTTTGTATACTTACTAGTTTTGAGGTGGTCTTTTTAGCTATTTGGTTCATTTCTTAATTTGGGGACTTTTTAACACTCGTGCCCAATCCTCTCATCAACTTCGGAATGGCTAATTCATCACTTCTTAGTATATTTTGTCGGAAATCTTGTTTACGTGCACGCCGTGCGCGGTTTACGGAAGCATATCACCCGGGTGATATGATCAAATCACCCGCTACGTCAAACACGATGACGTAAGGCGTGATTCGATGATAAATTTCATGCACGCGTAGGGCAAACTTAGTTTCGTGATTGGACACATTGAATTTAAGTTATAATATTAACTAATATTACCCTTGCGTTAATAAAAAATAGGTACGCAGTGCGTACATGTTGCATGCCATCTGAAACTTTATGAGTTAGATGCGCTAGCGCTTATAACTTTTGGTACAACCAGCCTGAAACTTAAAATATTGATTCAATAAGTTTATTATCAATATATTTATTGAAAATTAGCTATTATATATCAAAATAAGAAAACTTAAACGCGAATAGGCAATGTTTTTATGAGCGACCGTTCATCCTTAGTTGCAAGCGAAGGTAATAACAAGGTCAACGTCAGTTTATCGAAAGCGATTGACTGTTAGATTAATTTCCTTTACAAATTCATAAATAAATAATTGACGTATTAAGCTGTTATATTCACCTACAGGTGAATTCCCCGATAATCACGGAGCCTGAGGCGAATAATTGTTAAATGTTATTGCCTACAAATTTAGCTTTATTGTAACTATTTAAAGGTATAAAAACCCGTGGAAATGGTGAATTACTATAATAGATTGAAAATAATTATTAAACTATAATTGAAATTGTCGAAGTAGATTGCTATTTCGTTGTATGAAATTTCAATAGTATTTATAATGAAATTTTGTTTGATATTAATATTTCAGGTTATTTACAAAATGTACTGTAGTTTTGAAGTCTTGCACACACAATATAATCAGTGCGAACACAATGGCTGCGTTTGAGTTTGAGTATATAAAAATTGAGTATTTTGATAGCGTGGCCTTTTACGATATCATATAAATAACGCCTGATAAATGATCAGTGCGCGCACAATGGCTCCAAAATCACAACAAATAACAGAATATAGATATGGTAGTGCAGAACTTTACATGTCGAATAGTTAGTGGAGTTGGCAAATACGATCATGTCACACCAATCCTGCAAGAACTAAAGTGGCTTCCAGTTCGACAGTATTTATATTTTCGTGATGCAGTCATGGCATTTAAATGCATGACAGGAAACGCACCTGCATACCTAACTGAACAGTTTGTGAGACGAGGTGACATTTCATCTCGCGTTACTAGGAACTCGAGCATGATTGAAACTCCTTTACACAGAACAGCAACTGGGCAACGATCCTTCAAATTCAGAATGGCCACAATTTGGAATTCCTTAAACCCAGAACTTAGGGCCTGCGAAACAACGAAAGACTTCAAACATATTTTAAAACAGAGACTTGTAGAAACATTTAAATTTAGGACCAATCTTAAGAAATTTTGATGTAAATAGCATATATATTTATGTAGTAATACCAAGTGTGTGTGTGTGTGTGTGTGTGTGTGTGTGTGTGACAGTGTGTGTGTGTGTTGTGCGACTGTGTGTTGTTATGTGTGTGTCTCTATTGTTATGCTGTATAAAAATTTAGATCAATTTTGTAAAATTTCGCTGAAAAGCCTTTTAAGGGATGTGAAATTAAAATACAATACAATACAATACAATACAATACAATACAATATAAGGTCGTTTAAGTTAAAAACAGCAAAGCTTTACCTAGCTCGATCTATTTTTCTAAGGCGCTCAATTATGTAAATTTTCGGCGAACAATCAATATTTTCTTTGCGTTTCCTCGACGAAAACCATGTGAGTGATTCACATCACATGAATATGCTCGTCGGAAAAACTCGGTATTTGTCGTATTTTACGAATCTGCCACGCGATTTACGATCAGCGGTACGCTCGCGATGACATGAAATTTAGAGCTATATGAAAGTTGCATGCCATATATGGCATGCAACAAAAATAAAACATCCGTTTGTATTCACGAAGGCATGTGAGAAGTTATATTTTCTCAACTTGGAGGCTTTTAATTTTCGGTTTAATATATCATTTATAGACCGTCCGCTCGGGCGTTTCGTCCGGAATAATACCCGATGTGATGATATCACTGAGGGTAATGTTTCGATGTCACATATACGAAAACGCTAGGCTCTTTGGCCATAGTGACGTATACTTTGTTAATAATGTCTATATATCGATGACGTCATCTTATGTAATGCATCCGCAGAGTTCACCGTATACGACGTTACCCAGGTGTTACGATTCCAAACATGTTTTGAACAACATGTTTTTAGCCAGTCCACTTGTCAAGTAAAGCGATTTTCCCTTGATCTCTTTACTGTTTCAATACAATCAGTTGTAATTTAATACTCTATTTCAAACATTATGATGGGCTCGTATTTTCATCATAAAGAAGTTAGGGGCCGATCATAAAGTAACTGCTAGGGTTGGCTGGAGTGATTTGGGATGGGCCATGGAAAATCTTTGGGCAGTTTCGATGGGCCGCCAATTTTTTTGTATGCCCACGGTTGGGCCTCCAAACAAAAAAAACATGCATGTCTACTATGGGGCGCCAAATGTAAAAAAAATGTTATCAGCAAAAATATGTCGAATTTTCCATTATTTAGTTATATAATACATTATTTGCAAACAATCTTTGTTTGGCAACAAACAATCCAGAGATTGTTTGTTGCGATATTAAATAATCGCAACAAACAATCCAGAGATTGTTTGTTGCGATATTAAATAATCATGGATTGTTTATAAACAATCTATGGATTATTTACAAACCATCCTTGGATTATTTAGTACGATCTTAAACAATCCCTTGATTATTTATAAACCATCCATAGATTATTTACAAAAAAAATAAATAATCCAGGGATGGTTTATAAACCATGAGTAGATTATTTATAAACAATCCATAGATTGTTTGTTGCGATACTAAGTAATCCATGAATTCTTTATAAACAATCTATGGATTATTTACAAACCATCTTGGGATTATTTAGTACGACCTTAAACAATCGCTTGATTATTTATAAACCATCCATAGATTATTTACAAAAAAATAAATAATCCAGGGATGGTTTATAAACCATGAGTAGATTATTTATAAACAATCCATAGATTGTTTGCTCGAGCCAAATGTAAAAAAAATATGGAGCCCGCCAAATGTAAAATAAAGAGCTGGCTGACAGGAAGAAGCATGGGTACGACTTTGCGTGTTCCGGGGGGGGGAGGGCGACAACTTCAAGAATCATGACAATGTGACCAAACAACGCGCCAAAATAAAAAAGCAAGCATGGAGCGTGGTTAGTCCACTTTAGTCGCCATAAAAGCAAGATAAATTGTTTAATATTCCTCAGTATTTGCTGATGGCAAACCAGTACGAAGACGAAGCTAATAACCACGGCGATGAGAGCGATATAGACGATATTGATGGCGAAAGTTTTGCAAGAAGGTATTAAAACATATATATATTACTGATATATACAACTCGTATATACGATATATGCAACCCCTTTATCTTTATAATCCCCTGACCCAGTTGTCTGGCAAACAGATAAAGGTTCAACGGATTTTCTAGCTGCAAGGATTAACTTTGTTATTGGTACTGGTGCTTCCATCAGTTTAAGTGAGGGGGGGGGAGGGGGTGTCTACAAAATGAAAATTTAAATACAGTAAGATGAATATCAATCAAATGTTTTACAAAAATCCCCATAAAGTATGAGTACTAAATTTATGTGGAACACCAGACATAAGTCCTATAATCCCTTCCCACTAAAGATAATTAGTTAAATCCCCACCCACTTAATACCACAACCCTGTTTACCTTTTAAGTGCATGCACAGTTAATAGATATCTATTAACCATGGTGTATGGGAGATATTAACTCTTGCTTGATGGTGTGATACACTATTTGCAAACAATCAGGATTGACATGAAGGTTCTGTGATTGGTTGATTATGACAAAGAAATACAACGAACTGTATAGTAAATTTTCTGAATGAGTTGCAAACACTGTTCCCCTCTACATTAGCCAATTAGCTTTGTGCTGACCCAAAAATCTTTGTGTTTTGAATAAAAAACCCATGGAAATGGGTTGACTAGCTGCTGCGTATAATCATCGAAATAGGGAAGCATGACAGGATTGGAGCATAATTTTGCTAAAACAAATTTTTGCAGTTGAGAATCGTGAACATTAAGTACATGATTTCAATTTATACGAAAGGAATTGTATAACAATATTTTTCTTCACCGATTGTTTTCTTTCTGTTACAGCAAGGGAAGGCCAAATGTTGGTGTGACACCAAGTCAAGTCAAGGAAATGTTTGATTTGGGCTTTTCTGTAACTCAAATGGCTGCACGCTTTTGTGTGAGTAGGCCTACCATATACAAGCTTTTAAGAAATACAGACATTGAACATTCACAAAGATTTACTGTTGTTAATGATGATGAACTGGATCGTATTATATGTCAAATTAAGGAAGCCCACCCTAATGCAGGTGAAATAAACGTAATTGGCCATCTGCGAGCTCGCAAAATTAGGGTTCAAAGGCAAAGAGTAAGAGCTTCTATCCATCGGGTGGATCCACAAGGCCCATCTGAACGGAGCTCTAGAAATTTCCATCCCAGAGTATATGAAACCCCTTGCCCCAATTATGTGTGGCATCTAGATGGCAACCACAAGCTTGTCAAATGGGGATTTGTTACACACCTTGCAATTGATGGTTTTACCAGGCTAATAACTTTTGGAGAGACATCGAACAATAACCAGGCTGAAACTGTAATGGAAAAATTTACAAGGGCAGTTGAGAAATATGGCAGACCATTGCGGGTAAGAACTGACCATGGTGGTGAAAATGTTCGAGTCTGGCAGGATATGATCCACCACAGAGGCCCGAATAGCGTTATAGCTGGATCATCTGTTCGAAACCAACGAGTAGAACGCCTCAATGGTGATGTAAATGTTCAGGTAAATAGGTATTATGCATAAATTTTCAGAGAGCTTGAATTCGAAGAAAAGCTAAATATAGCAAACAGCACTGACAAGTTTTGTTTGCATTATGCCTACTTACCAAGGATAAACAAGACCATGGCAGATTTTATTAATGCTCACAACTGCCATAACATATCAACAGAAGGATCAGCTACACCTCAACAGCTTATGTATGCATATAGGCACCTAACAGAACTCCATCATTCGATATTGCACTCAACACCATACCCTACTGTTTCAGTACAAGAACTTCTGCAAAACCCTACTGCACTCCCCTATGTTGATGTATTACCTTCTGTTTATCAACTCCCAAATGATGTGTTCAATGAACTGAGGGAAGTTGTTAATCCCTTAGCAGAGTCTAATGATAAGGGCAAGGACATATACATGGAAACTGTGAAATTTGTTGGAGATTATCTCACAGGTGCACAGCCTTCATAACAATTTGGAAAGGAAACAAATGATCCTAAATACACTGTGGCACACTTCAGATGTTATGTCTTATGTACAATACACTCATTCATTTTAAGCTGTGTGCAGTGCCGCTCAGCGAATTAACTTATTGCACCTTTTCGATAATTACATCATGAGTACGTTCTTGGCCTGGGGCCCTCACTCTCGTGCATCAAGACAGGATGCGATTGACTCAAGATTCATGAAAAAGAGACTCCCAGGCCAAGAACGTATTAGAAACGTAATTATCGAAAAGGTATATTGATATTAAAAGCCCCCGTGTTAATCTCCTCAAACTGTATATAAATTATACCATCTTGTTTAAAGAGGTTATATTAACCGAAAACTCAAAATGCACAAAGCTATCTTTTCCTTGACAATGATTCTTTCCTACAATACTTTTTAATTGCATACAGTAAAACCCGGCACATGAGAACCTAGCATTTAAGAACCTGTTAGGCTAAAATATTTTATTTAGAGCCCCTTTAAATAAGTACACCTGTTGAGGATAGAATTTCAAAACATATTCTCAATAGTAGTCAAAATTAAGTCATAAATTACAATCGATGTAGCTTTAAAGTGCCTATACTGTAGGGTCAGTGGTGGAAATCAGTGATGAATTTTCGGAAATTAAAAAACCTAAAGGAGGGCTAAAAACAGTCTTTTCAAGTGCAAATGGGGGTGGGTTGTCGGAAATTTGAAAGTTTTGTCTGAAATTGGCATAATTTATATGAATCGTATACCATACCTCCTCCCTAAAATGAGTCGCTTTTCTCTTAAAGGGGCCCTACAGTCATTTATTAGTCGAAAAGCCACCACGGATTCGTTTGGCTATATGTTACATGCAGTATCCATGAATACGAGTACTTCCGCACACCGGAAGACGCATACATGCCGTGATGCACATGTTAAGTAGGGACAATTAACAAAAATTAAAATGTAAACAATACTTACTTGACTAAAAAATTACTGTAGGGCCCCTTTAAGAAAATAAGAACCTATTTAATAACCTGGTTAGCTTAATTCCCATAAGAACCTGTTTAGGCTGACCTGGAAAATCTAGGTTCTTATATGCAGGGTTTTACAGTACAGTATGACCATAGTACTATGCTTAGATACCCGTCCCAACCTAATGCCTCTTTGATTTGGCTTGTACAATACAGCATGTATCGTGTAACATTCACCAATATATAACAGTACCAACTAAACACTACTATTAAAAACAGTTTTGACATTAGTTAAAGATTTAGAAACAATCGAACCCGAAAGCTTCACATTCCAAGGCTTTATCCATGTCTCTTGAAAACTCATCAAATGTTTCTTGCTTTGTTGGGAGGAAAAACTTTAAGCCACACGTACCGGCACAAGGGTAATATGCCTTTGGATCGTCTATATATCCAACTTCAATCTTTTTTTGAAGGCCTCCAACAAACTGTTGTCCAGTAATAAACTGCAGTACAGCGGCACATCTTTTAAATTGACTATCTGTGTAAATAAGAAACAAGAGGCTTACATACTTGTTTTCAAAAACTGTGTTTAGCAAGCCTCGCCTCCCTAATTTTCGCTGCCCGCGCCTCAAAACCCCAACCCTTCAAACCGCCGGCTACGCAGGCTAGCATTTCTTATTTTATACTGTAATATTCTAAACAGTAACTACCTTACTGGCATTCAGCAGGTAGTTCTCTAAGGCAATTGTAACAATTTCTAGTACTCACATGGTATATCGCCATATATGAAAATAGAGATATAGGATGGGAGTGCTTTTCTTGTGCATTCTTCGTATTTGTCATTGCACCATGCAAGACCATATGTACTCATTTATGTAGTAGATTTAAAACATAACTTTCAAATGTCAACAATTCATCAAGAAAATAACAATCGTGTTGGTGGTTTTATGTGATCAAATTTCATGTTAATTTACATAAACTTTAGTTCTGATTTGACATCCCTACCTTCACCACATGCAATTGTAACATTCGCATCGATGTATCTGAGAAAGAATTCTTTCGTTCGTTCATGAACAACTTCGGATGTTTCCATGAAAATCAGATTTTCTTTCAAAACACTGCTTGTCAAAGCAACGTTGTACACGAATTTTGATTGAAAGCGATCAGGAAATTTCTGCACTGTCTCCAGCACATGAAGCAACTTCAAACCTTGTAGAAGTTGGTTAATTGCCGATTCTCTTTTCCAAATCACTTCATGTAACAGCAATGTCGCCACAAGGTGTTCCTTTTCGCTAAATTGTATGATTCCAGTCCACCCTACAATAATGATATAATTTATATTCTATTTTTAATTCCTAAAAATACAAATGTAATATCGAGTGTAATATAAAGTTATCTTCACATCTAGACTAGATTCAAGTCCGTCTCGAGAGATGCACTTGACTCTTAAGGCTTTTGCAGCATTTCAAATGTTACTTGCAAAAATTGGCGCGAATATTTGTTGTCTGAAAGGAAAAATCCGACGGTACATTTTGGCAAATCTGTCCCTACTTTTCTCGCGCCTTTGTTTACCGCTCGGTTACAGGCTCGTGTGCATTGCTATTTTCAACCCCTTGAGAGACGGATTTGAAGTCTAGTTAAGTCTTAAGAGGCACAACTCCAAATAATTTAATATTTTATACATAGTTGTATGAGAGCAGCAACTTAAAATTACAGTCATAATTAACAAACCTGCATTGCAAATGTAATCCAAGACATCTGGTCGATTAGCCACTTCTCCAAAACTTTCCACAGTACTAGAAGAAATCTTAAAGACGGAAATACTTATTAATGGGCAGGTATACATGTAAAAGTCGTATCACTAGTTAGACAGTACCGGGAACGAGGAATTGGGGGAATTACGGGGAATGGGGGTTCGAGGAACGGGGTAAACAGGGGAAATACGCTACGTTTCGGTACGATTGAAGTGGAAAACTGGCTTAATGCCTTTCAGTTTACATAATACCGGCAATGCAAACCTCTTTAATGATCTCCCTTGCGTCTTTATTTGGAACAATCTCTGGTGTACAATGAATCAAGCAGGCCTCTGCGTTTTGTGTGACAATGTATTCGAACACTGGCCGAGCCAAATAAGGGAACCCTACAAAGTGCAAACGTTTGGATTCGTTATTAATTGACGAATTCATTGGAAAAGCTGACCAATAATGAAGACCAACGTCAGCGAAGCATGACACAATCATGTTGCTATCTATCTCAGGGGATCCCGCAAATAGCAGGATAGGATGACGGGGTGGGGGATGACAATTTCCTTATCAAATCCATTTTTCAATTTACCAAAACAAAGAAACAGACAGAATGAGCAAATAAATTTTCGTTTTTGGACATTCTAATGAAATTCGTGATTAAATCCTAAAATATCAAAGTTTTACTTGACTAAATGTATAAAGTACCTATGCCTCCATTAACGATCGAATGAGCAATAATGGTGCCTAGTATGCGAAAATGACCAAGCCGCAGTGCTGGGCCTTTCATTGTCGGGAGTAGGTTTGGCATATCTCCTTCAAAAAAACCGACGGTCGTAGAAGTAATTTTATCTGCCAGCAACTGAAAAAATTCCCTCCGCGGTCCACCTGTATCGATACCAATCTCCATGTTGTCACCACCAAAAGCAACACGAAAGGGCTGATCTAAATTCGCCCCACATTTATAATACATGAAAGCTTCTTGCCACAGATTGTCTCTGTTAATTGACAATGTGAATATTTCCCCCATTCAACTGCCTTGCAAAATATCCAGCCACATCAAATGAGCCTAAAATATAAAGATATTAAGCACAGTGTTTTACTTGAAATTTGCTATATATAGAGTACAATCTGCAGACATGTACGCCGAAATATACATGTCTGCAAATTGTGCTGTATGTATAGCATATTTCAAGCAAAACACTGTGATTAACACTGTAATTTGTAAAATTATCTATTTTAATAAGATGCCTGCCTGCATTACTAATGTTCAACTTACTTGATGCTGCTGCATTAACTTGGCAGGAACTAGATAAGAGTTCGTCAATGGCGAAGTCAATTGTTAAATTGCTTCTCAATGCCTCCTCCAAATCCTCTTCTGGTGTGTGAGGGAACATTGCATGTAACGTCTAAAGGTCGTCACTGTTTATTGATTCGACCAATGTATTCTTAAAAAAAAAAAAAAAAAAGTTAAAAACTTAAAGTTTGTATCCAGTGATATGCCAATTTTACATGACTGCAAGAAATGCAAGCAAGGCTGGCGAGAGCCAACCACGGGCCCCGGGACAGAATGACAATTGATGAACAGGGGCCCCCTGTCCCTCTCGACTCCCCCGCTGGCGCATGGCCACGCCAAAGTCTACTTTTAATCGCAATTAATCATCAAGAGAATTACCAGCGAATTACTTGCAAGAAATCGCCGCATAATGTGAACGATGTTCACCTAACTGTTTTTGCTGAGAAAATGATCAAAAAATCGTTTATTCCACATTTCCAGGCCCCTCTGAGCACTCCGGGCCCTGGGTGTTTTGACCCCCTGCCCCCTCCCCCTCTTGCCGGCCTTGAATGTAAGCTGGAAAGTAAAAAAGAATTAAAGTTTGCATCCAGGAATTTAACATGCCAATTTTTAATACTGACTGCAAGGAATGTAAGCTGGACTCGCTCGTGAGTACTGCCCCTTAGTTTGAATCTACTATCAAGACTGCATTCATATGAATGTAAGACTACTACTCCAACAACATCACACATAGCTTCCTTGTATAGCTTGCTTGTGCTCATTCACGGGCAGATTTACGGGAGGAGGGGTGTTAAACCCCTCCTAGAACCCCTGTAACCCATTTTGTGTGAAAGTCTCTAACGTCTAACGGACTAACCCCTGCCAAAACTTGGTCAGTGGTGCCGCGTGCACACCACTAGAAATTTTACCACCACCTCCCCCCCTTTTTAAAGAATGAAAATCCACCCTTGGACCCACTGTTACCTCATGAAAACAAAAGATAAACCAAGCTACAGTATGAAAATATTATTGGCAACTATAATCCCTCCAGATACAGGTATAACTATTAACAATACCGTTTCGGTAATTTGTACTTCTTCTTCCTCCTCTGCTGCATTGTTTATAGGCTGAATCCCTTCTTCCAATTCAGGCTCTTCATCTTCAATGTTCAGAGTCTACATAATTTTACAAAGTATTTATTCCAGTTATTATTTTGTTTACTGTAACTCTTCTTGAAGGGGAGGTTATTGAAAATTGGTAATATACCACACAGATTTTTTCTGGACTTTTTGGGGGTTTTTGGTTGAATGAACACAAAAACTCTGTATTGAATTGTGTTTTGAAAATTAATCATCGAAAGTTTAAGTGCAGTCAAATTGTGACATTGAACTAAATTTTCCCATGAAAAAACAAATACGTACACAGCACGGAATTCATTTCAATTTGTTTCACAATACAGAAATGCATAATAATAACTGTTTAACAAAACCAACGATTCAGTTGGTTTAAGTATAACGGTAAAAACTTACACTGGATGAAATTGCTGATGGCAAAGATGTATTGGCCATGATATAGAGACTACCTTGCCCTGCCAAAGAAGCAACCTCTTGTCCATTCCATGAGAAGCTACTACTCACAGATGGTCTCTTTAACTTCTTCATGCCCGTCATGACACACAAATAGTCATAATCCAACAACTGATTTGGATTCAACATGAACACACTTGCAAATACAGATGTGACCTCCTCTCTAACCTATAATTGAGATAACAAGAAAATTGTGTGCACAGTATATTACACATTTTAACCTTGAAATTTAGATACAGATGAGCAGTAAATTGTATGTTGTGCTCGGGGGGGGGGGATTTGCACCCTTTCTCAGCAGCACTGACATTACGTACTGTAGTACATGTATACTACCTTTCAGTTAACTAGTTATATGATCAGTTCACAAGTTGGGCTTAAGAGAAGTAAACTTGATTTCTACTCCGATGTTAAAAAACAGTTCAACCTCTTAACCCATTAAGCCCTTCCCTTGTGTTGGACAACGTAAAATAATAAAGTAATGCGCATCAGGGCACAATGCATCTCAATGGGTTAAAATCTAAATGAAGTAATTTAAAACTTAACAGATAATCTGCTAATTCTCGCATCTAGTCGCATGATAACGACATTTTACCTGCATATCATTCCATGTGGACATTATTCTGATTTTGCCAATGAGGCCTCTTTCACTCAATGCACCCCTTTGCTTTCCCCTCGGAATAGACAAAGTGATTTCTCGTGTATACGGGATGCAGACTACATCTTTGTTCCAAGTTCTTAACCGTCCAACAAATCCAGTTGTCTTACGCTTAGCAGTTGTGCGTCTAGTATTTCCAATACTAGAAACGGAGGAAGATGAACCATTACTGGAACCTCTAGTTGTTGTGTAGCCTGATGGCAATGGAGTAGAATTTCCCGTTACATTCGTTGTTGTTGATGCTCTGTTAGTCACCTGCTATAAAATGCAATTAATACCGGTAAAATATAAAGGTATTTCTCACACACCACTGGGAGCTGCACCAGCACTAGCCACAAGTTGACATTTATTAACATTAAATTGCTTAAATTGTAAACATCATATAACCTAAAAATGTCTGTTATAGCTCATTATTCGTAACAAATGGTGGGTCTTAAAACAAGCACACACCACTGTCATTTAATGTCATCTACCGTCAGCTAGTGTCATTCCAAGTGTCATGACACTAAACAACGGTAGATGACACTATATAACACTAAATGATGGTGGATGACAGTAAATGATGGTAGATGACAGTAGATTACAATAGATGACAGTAGATTACACTAGATGACATTGAATAACGGTAGATAACACTGAGTGACGGTTGATGGCCAGCGGTAGGTGACACTAAATGATGGTAGATGGCAGTTGATGACAACAGATGACGGTAGATGACACTGAATCACAGTAGATGGAAGTAGATGAGACTGGATGACATTATGAGGTAGTAGATGACACTTGATGACACAGTTGGATGACAGTATATACATGTATGATCATAGATTGTATATAATGTATGTATCCTAATGGCGTATGTATGACATGGAATTATTACCTACATGCATGTCAGAATGAAACATACATATCATGGTATACCACTCACAGGAACTGTCCAGTTTTACAACAGCTCCCAAATCGACCTGACAATACTAATTTAGCAGATCACCTGACTAGCTTCCGAGCCAAGCACACAACAGGTGCGAAAATGCTCAGTGAATGGCAGAATGCTGAGGTGAGGAGCAAGAATAATTGAGATAGAGATAAGGTCTCTCCCAAGTTGTGAGATTAGAGTAATACAGGTCATATCATAGACCGCAACTCATGAAACCAATCCAACATGATTATACGATAGTTTACACTATCCATATATCTATATACTGTCGGGAAAATTTGACATTAATAATTATAATTTAATAAATTTTTACATTAATAATTGTTAGTATAAATTTCCAGGTGACTATATTGATTTTTCTGCATTCTAATTGGTTAAGATTCACTGTCTCTGAAGTGATAGTTACTGGTCAGTGACTATAACTTTTTGATTTTTTCCTTCAAAATGGCTGCTCGTTTTGCCGTAGTAACAGCAGAGGAAATTGCCAAAATTAAAGAAGATAGCATTCCGAAAAACCCAAACAAGCTACAAAGAGGGTCCTGAAGGGGTAAAATGGGACTGGAATTTGCTTATATTTTTGGGTGGGAAAATGGGATTTCATGCAGTGGGACTGGGATTCATCAGCAACAGAACAATAGAAAATGGGAATGGGATTAAGATTTGAGCAGGACAGCCACTGACATAATGGGATTTGTGCTCTGGGACAATGGGATTTAGTCAAAATTTGGGCTGGGAAATGGGAATACGACCCCCCCCCCCCTTCAGGACCCTCTACAAAATATGGTTTAAAAGTATTTCAAGGTAAAATATTAAACTTTACGTGCTTTTATGTGGAAAAAACTGGCTTAGTCGCAACGCGACAGAGAGCTGTGTCTGAGATTTAAATTTTGTAAACCAACTATTTGTGGTGAAAATAAATTTATTTGAAGTAAATTTTTATAAAGTTGTATGGATTATTGTTTGTAAACACCTGGAAATTTATACCAAAACAATTAGTCGCCTCAGCCTCGGTGATTACAAGCCTATATTCTCTCTCCTCCGCAGAGGCTTACATGAAGTTTCTAGTGTGGGAAAGTGAGCGCGCAAGGACTGCGCGCCTCAGTGCTGCGCGCGCTCAATTTTATTCAGGAAACTTCATGTAAGTTGTTTGTAAATACTTAAGGAGGCTCTGCGGAGGAGGGAGAGCCTATATTCACTTCGCCTTCGGCTCAGTGAATATAGGCTTGTAATCACCTCGCCTTCGGCGACTAATTGTTAAATAGTTAAATTTAGAGATGAGGCGACTACCATATATGGAATTTTGACGGGTAGAGACGGTGAAATACGTGTAGACGTTCGTATGTATATAAGACAGATAAGTTTATATTTAAAACTTACGTTTCTAAATAGGGGAAGTGTGTCGGGAAAAGTTTACATTAATAATTAATAGTTAAATTTAGAGATGAGGCGACTACCATATATGGAATTGATTGACAGTCATGAGACAAAAGAAATGTTGTTATTGCATGGGAATATATGTAACTGTGAGCGATTTTGGGAAGGGATTTAATACAAAACACAAAATTAAACGCGCGTAATTTACTCTTAGTGTGGGGATCGAACGAAAATCTACCACAACAGACTAACTAGTACAACTGTTTAATTGTTCATATTTGCTTACCTGGAACTCTGACCCAGAAACGCGTGTACTGCCATGTTGTCTTGTACTCGACGTCGAGGTAGATGGACCTTCCGTAGCCATTGGCATTGTGCTTGAATTTGCATCGTCTGATACTGGCGGCGATACAGACTCGATCAATCTCGCAATCTGACTAAGTACGTTTGTAAAACGAACGTTCTCATTAATATTCATACTTACTGGCCGATCAAATCAAAAAACACTGCAGCTGTATCTCATGAATAGGTAAATATGGCGACTCCAACAGTGAAACACGCTTGCTTTTTTATTTTGGCGCGTTGTTTGGTCACATTGTCATGATTCTTGAAGTTGTCGCCCTCCCCCCCCCCCGGAACACGCAAAGTCGTACCCATGCTTCTTCCTGTCAGCCAGCTCTTTATTTTACATTTGGCGGGCTCCATATTTTTTTTACATTTGACTCGAGCAAACAATTTATGGATTGTTTATAAATAATCTACTCATGGTTTATAAACCATCCCTGGATTATTTATTTTTTGTAAATAATCTATGGATGGTTTATAAATAATCAAGCGATTGTTTAAGGTCGTACTAAATAATCCAAAGATGGTTTGTAAATAATCCATAGATTGTTTATAAAGAATTCATGGATTATTTAGTATCGCAACAAACAATCTATGGATTGTTTATAAATAATCTACTCATGGTTTATAAACCATCCCTGGATTATTTATTTTTTTTGTAAATAATCTATGGATGGTTTATAAATAATCAAGGGATTGTTTAAGATCGTACTAAATAATCCAAGGATGGTTTGTAAATAATCCATAGATTGTTTATAAACAATCCATGATTATTTAATATCGCAACAAACAATCTCTGGATTGTTTATAAATAATCCATGGATTATTTATTCAGAATACAAAGATTGTTTGCAAATAATGTATTATATAACTAAATAATGGAAAATTCGACATATTTTTGCTGATAACATTTTTTTTACATTTGGCGCCCCATAGTCTACATCAAAAAATAAAGATACTAATAATAAAAGTAAACAAAACTATCCAAATTATCAAATTCAAATCAGTGATGCTATTGTCTATTGAAGCCAGTACTTTGTTTATACAACAAAAAGTGGTCGAATCACAGCAAATACAACCAACTGGAGAGCAGCTCAGTACCAATGTGTTTGTCAAGCTTGGTGGAATTATGTATGTCAATACAGTGCCGTGCATGTATATTTACAATGTTCATACCTGCAAGTTTTTTTATTATAAAAGTGTATTTTTCCGATTTAGATTGGATGGGTCATGAAAATTTTTTTGTAAGATTTGAAGGGCTTTGAAATTTTTATGTACATCCTATGATGGGTCATCGAACTTATTGGCAAAATTTGTGATTTACCTCCAGCCCACCCTAGCAGTTACTTTATGACCAGTCCCTTAAATCATTTTACCTTTCGGCAGCGATGAGCAAAGTTACAATTGTGTTGCCGCAAAATAAGTAAAGTTTATACATACATATATTGCACGTGCGATTTCTTTTCTCTTGACCCGTTGCGTTTCCGGCGCGGAAAAGAATAAAATTTATTTAAAAAACTCATTATTAATTCAGGAGCAAAACACAAAGAAAAATCATAAGCGTGTCGTATCTTTATATGTAATAAAAAATCATGTTAATTTACATAAACTTTAGCTTTGATTTTCTCGGTTTAGACAAAGTTTATTTTAAAAATTACTTCGCTAATGTACTCATCAGAAGATGGGTCGTTTTTTAAGCCATTTAAAGCACTTGTAGTCGTATTTTATCAGATATAAAACGCTCGGCTGCGCCTTGAGTTTTATATCTGTGGTACATAGCGCTTTGGGCGAAATGCAAATATAGAATGGGTAATCAGTCATGTACGCTAATAATTTATAAATAATTAATTTTAACTCAGAGTAACATTAACCTCTTTTAATGTCGTAACGTAAGAAATAATTCTTGTTGAACAACTATGAACTTGGTATATTCTGTCAGAATACGAAGTGGTATGGACTATTGTGCATCTAAATGATCAATAATCGAGGTATTCCTTTTAAACGTGTCATATTATTTCTTTACATGCATGTCATCGCCTCTGCACCTGAACCTGCCATATCGTTTATTCATCTGCCATACCATGGGTAATCAATCAGGTATATTAATAATTTATAAATAATTAATTTTAACTAATTTAACCGAGAGTAACATTAACCACTTTTAATGTCGTAACGTAAGAAATAATTCATGTTGAACAACTATGAACCTGGTATATTCTATCAGAATACGAAGTGGTATGGACTATTGTGCATCTAAATTATCAGTAATCGAGGTATTCCTTTTAAACGTGTCATATTATTTCTTTACATGCATGTCATCGCCTCTGCACCTGAACCTGACATATCGTTTATTCATCTGCCATACTGTGGGCATCTTGCTGCGCTCTGGAATATACTCAAATACAATAGGTTGGACAAAACTAAATTGAAGTTTTGAATAACTTCGTCATCCATAAAATTCACTTCTATTCTGCTTTACGCACCCGCCTCGATTTTTTATGTCATACAGTCTGTAACATTAAAAAGACCCCATGCTCCTTAGCCTCATTAATATATCGAGTCTCAACAAATGGAGATTTATATGTTGCAGAGAAATATATTGCAAAAGTACGAATTGTTTGGTTTAATTATTGAAATCGGCAAAACAAAAACAATGTATTAAAAATGTCATGTTTATACACCTGTATGTCATAGTTTTAAATCACACATCAGACGCAAATATTTTTTATTTCACTGGACGTCAGATCGCGCTCTAGTAGTGCACATTGCACTTTCATACACATCTTATAATACCAAAATTATTTGGTGAAAAAGTCAGTGCATTGGGTATCGGAAAAGTAAAACCGGTTTTCCACTTCGCCCGTATCGCAGCGAAACGTACTGGTGAGCATGCGCAGATTGAAAAGAGGTTTTTGGCGTACTACGGAAGTAGTACGCCAACATTTTTTAGGTACCATTTTGAATACCATAAAGTCCTCTTAGAAGCAGTGCCCCCCTCCCAATCTTTTGATACTTTGTACGCCCCTGGTCGAAACTTTAGAAACTCTTTCCGGCTACCATTCCACACTAGGGTTTCCAGTTATATTCATTTCACTGGTAATAACACAAATATTTCAGCCAACGAAATTCATCAAAATGTCCTTAATTGTGTGTATATACATGTGTATATCGCGCTCTAGTAGTGCACATTGCACTTTCATACACATCTTATAATACCAAAATTATTTGGTGAAAAAGTCAGTGCATTGGGTATCGGAAAAGTAAAACCGGTTTTCCACTTCGCCCGTATCGCAGCGAAACGTACTGGTGAGCATGCGCAGATTGAAAAGAGGTTTTTGGCGTACTACGGAAGTAGTACGCCAACATTTTTTAGGTACCATTTTGAATACCATAAAGTCCTCTTAGAAGCAGTGCCCCCCTCCCAATCTTTTGATACTTTGTACGCCCCTGGTCGAAACTTTAGAAACTCTTTCCGGCTACCATTCCACACTAGGGTTTCCAGTTATATTCATTTCACTGGTAATAACACAAATATTTCAGCCAACGAAATTCATCAAAATGTCCTTAATTGTGTGTATATACGTCCGTATTTATCTTTATAATGTTAGGGGAATATACATCACGTTATTTGATTGGTTATAATGAGCATGTGTATATCAAGGCGATTGTTTGTTCATGCTTTAAGCCTTGCGCACACGATGCAATTTTAGTCGGCCGATAAACATCGTTTGACTAAAACTGACAAAATCGTTGTGTGCGCGGTGTCATTCTTAACCGATTTTTGTTGCTCGATTTTAGTCGGACAACATCAAAACGTTTTGATATTATACGATTTTTATCGGTGGAATTTTAAGTATAACCAATCAGATTTCATGCTGTGATCACGTGCTTGTATTTATTTGGCAACATGGCGGCTACAGTTCAGGGAGCATATTTTTTTCGTAATCGTGTGCGGAGTATACCGATGTATAGCGGTATGTCAAACCATTTTTATCGGCCGACTAAAATCGCATCGAGTGCGCCAGGCTTTATACTGTAATATAAATCCCTGTTTTGGGATTTAATTAATTTAATTAAATTTGGCATAATAAATTCGTAACACTTTTGGTACGTTATTTGTTCTAAAACTAAAGTATTGCATCGTTTATGCATTGTTCTAGGTTTTTTGTAGTTTTTTATTGTCCTAAAGTTGGAATATATTTGAATTTGAATAACTTAGTCACAAAAACTAAACCCTTAGAAAACAAGTTATTGTTGTTAAACACAAGATTTTCTACTTCTGGGAATTTAAAATAGCTTCTAATCGTACGAAGGAGCATAACTGCATAAAAATTGTCAAACCATATTACAGTTTTAAATAACTTCGTCACGCATAAAATTTAATTTATTTCTATTCTGCATGTTTTATACGCACCAGTGGATTCATCATAGTGCTAAGTATTCAAGTTCGAACAACAGTTTGATTTCTAAACGTCTGGAGCTTTTTGTACACTCTGTAGTACGCTGTACACTGGCGTGACTCGTTCAAACTGCAGCGTTGTTTACATCATTTTCGTCGCATAAGTACGAATTATTGGGTTTAATTAATTATGGAAATCGGGAAAAAATATTGCTTTTGACAAATGTAATGTTTATACACCTGCCTGTCATAGTTTTATATTACACATTAAGCGCAAATATCTTTTATTTGAATGCACGTTAGATCGCGCTCTAGTAGTGCACATTCGACTTTCGTACACGTCTTATAATAGCAAAATTAATTTATTGAGTGAAAAAGTCAGTACATTGGATATCGGAAAAGTAAGGAACTGACAAGTAAGTCTACTTATTAATTCAAATAAGTAAGTAGTGATATGCAGTACTGCAATTATCATTAGTATCTTTTACTCCCGTGAATGGAGCCTAAACTCGATGAATTCGAAATCCTGTACAGTCAACTTCAAACGATTTAAATCATACGAACTGGCCAGATAAAACCGGATTAATACGTAACCGCGTGATGAAGTGGAACCGGGCATATTATTAAAGGCGAATTCCGAAGTTCTTATAGAAGAATCATATATCAAATAATATTCTATAAATATACCCCCTTATTTAGGTCCTCAGTCTAGTCTATTCGACGTTACCTCATAAAATACATCAGCCCAAACGGTACATCACCGTGTCACGTCACTGTCTCTTGCAAAAGGGTATAGGCCACGTCACCCCATAGGTGACCATCACCATTAGGTTACATCATACGTTCATAGGGTTACGTTACCACGTAACCATGTAACGCAACCTAATGAAATGGCCTTTGAAAGTACAAGAGAACAATTCGTTACCTTGATGAAATAGAAAACATATGTATAATTATAATATACGTCATTGTTATATAGTAGCTATCTTTACATTAAAATCGTAGGTACCTCGGATCCCTTATAATCAATTGGGCAATAACCGGTTGGGAATTACGTAGACCAGTGAGAGAAAATCTCAATAAATTTAAACTCCAAAAACTATCTTCATAAACATAAAATCACTGTACAGTAAAGTCTTAAATATATGTAGTAAATATTAAACATGTGTTTAATTTTAAATATGTATTTATAGGATTGACACAATGTTTGATACATTTGAAGAAAGATGTCGGTCCATTAAACCTCCAACAGAGATGTCCTTTATAACAGGCGGTGTGACCATTTTGCTCATCCTCACCAATATTCCTGGAAATATTCTCGTTATCCTGGCCGTTGTTTTGGATCCAAACAAAAACTTGCGAACTCCTTTCAACTGGTTAGTGGTAAATTTAGCAGCAGCTGATATAATGGTTGGCATTATCGCTCAGCCTCTCGCGGTTTATTTTCACATCACAGAAGGTTTGGAAGACGGAGTTGACGCTGAAGAATCAATAGCAATCTACATAGTTTACTTCACTTCGTGTACAGCATCCATTCTTAGCGTTTCAAGTCTCGCTGTTGAAAGATATTTGGCTGTAAGGAAACCAAATACTTATCGTACTAAGGTGACTAATAAACGGATTTTGCTAACAATAGCGATGATTTGGGTGATTTCTTTGAGTTTACCTAACATCAATCTTAATGTTGGTTTTTCTACATACGCATTCATATTTACCAACAGCTCTGTGGTAGTGGGTGTAATAATAATTTGTAGAACATATACTCTGGTGAAGCACAAAGTTAGTATGAGTGAAATGAGATCCCATCATGGGCGGTGTAGGTCGATTCTTTTAACTTTAGGAGAAGGAGGAAATAAACCATCGCAACACGAAAGCCCTTCAGCTGTCATCACAGAGACAGATTACCCAAATGCTAGAACTCAAAACAGACATTCGTTCGAACAAAATACTCCATCAACTTCAACAGAAAAAAACTTACCATCGCAAGTTCGAAGCCCGCTTCCAACTGTCAACACAACCATAAGTTCCTCGAACGCTATCACTAGCAGCAGGCAACTGTTGGAAGCTAAGGTTACTAAAATATTCCTGATCGTCCTCGTAGCTCTGTTGTGTTGCTATGGACCCTCGACTATACTGATATACGTGGTAAGCTTCTGCGAAGATTGCAGTTGTACAACCCTTCATTGTCTTGAAGACATCAGTGTCTTGTTCACTTTTATGAATTCTAGCATTAACTTTTTTTGTTATGCTCTAAGATCCAGCAGATTCCGAAACTCGTTTCTCAAATTGTTAAGAATGAATCGTCGTCGAAACTTTTCGAGCTCTTTCAACGCTGCCATTGCGCAATAGGCTTCTGCTGAAGAACAAGCTGTCCTCTTGCTTCCACTACGTCTGGTCAATCATCGGATTCGGATTGTGTATTACAGTATAAGAATTATTTTAGGCACCCTGGGTAAGAGAAAAGGACAACTGTGACAGTGTGAAAAAACGACACTGAGATTTTTATGAACTAAAGCGGCGAACCTTGATTTCAGTTGTTGTAACTTAAAATGAACAATTGTATTTGCGTAATTTACATGTAGGCCTATCAATGATGTGTACTAACCAGTGAAATTAATGTAGCTGAAACGCTACTTTCAGATGAAATGCTTTTTTCTTTTTCTTGAAGCCAAATCGGATCCCCAAACACGCGCGTGTCTGGTGGTCAAGGTTCGTGTGTTTATGCCGCGCGATTCATTCCCGAGCACGCCGCTATTATTAGAAAAAAAATAATAAAGAACTAAAAGTAAAGTTTTCTGGAAATTTTACCTAAATAAATGCATTGATAGTAAGCCATGAGCGCTATTAAAAATGCTTTTTGAAGCTAGTTTTCAAGAATAACTATTAATGTTGTTGATTGTTTACCGCGCTCTATACGCAATCGTGAAAAGACTGTGACCATCAAATTTCCTGTTGGAAGTGCATTTCAGTTATATTCATTTCACTGGTACTAACACAAATATTTCAGCCAATAAAATTTCCTATTGTATTTACTTCTGCATTTATCTTTACAATATAATTTTATCTTTACATCACGTTATTTGATTGGTTATAATTAGCCTGTGTTGTTCACACAATATAATTTACACGCACGCGCAAATAACGATTAGGTCAAATGGATATTTTATATCGTCTGTAGCTTGAATTGGACTTGATAGGGCTATTTTTCTCGCGTTTTCTTGAAACTCCGCAGATTTGTTAAGCATGGTGATCAGTCAAACTATCAAAATTCTAAGAAATTCTACAAAACGTATTTTCTGTATTGATTATAAACCGTTGTAAACCTCCCTTCAAATGTTATTCCTCTATCAACCATTATTTCAAAAATTTTTTTTAGAAAAATTGAGGGAAGGAAAAAGGGTATTGTCTTTGATTGTGAAAGTAGACAATAAAGATGCAAAATATGAAACGTCATGGTTGCCATGGCAACACTAACACCGTTCCAATTTATTCATATATTGATAGCACAAGACTTCTGAGCTTTCCTGGAAATAATAATATTGCCCTGTCTTAGTTGTATCAATATAATTTTGATTGAAAACGAATGTTACCTAAAATACTTAAAATTTAGAAAATTGTATGGAGTCATCTTAAAACGAAACGACACTGCTGAAATCTAATAATGAATGGCTTATTAATTTGGATGAAAGCTTAATTAATGGAGTTTTGTTTTCGGACCAGAAAAAGCTTTCGACACGATCATGATGAATCTCAAAAATTATTTTTCTTTTGCTGGAATGATATGGCGTGAAAAGCGGTAGCACCCCATTAATTTTAGACCCGTCTCAGACGGCGTACCTTTCATGTGTGCAACTTCATGGACAAAATAATCACGCATGTCAGAAGGGCGGCCTATGAATTATTATAAGTAATAGCATGGCGTGAGGGAGATTAGTGATTAAATGGCCCCGTAACCCGAGGCAGGTTTGCGGAATCCCTGAGGGCGAAGCCCGAGGGAATTCCGCAAACCTGCCGAGGGTAAGGGGTCATTTAATCACTAATTATTTATCTTCTGTAATCAGTGGCAAATACTGCAATTTCATTGGTTTACAGGAGTGCGATTTGAGCATTAATCGCACCTTTTCTGAGCTGTAATCGCACTCTTGTCTACAGCCAATGAAAATCAGTCTAGTATTTACACTAGCCAATCAGTACTCAGGATACAAACTTTGAATTTTATTTTCTTTATTGCTGTAAAAAAATTCAAAATGGAGGAATTCACAAATTTTGCCCTTTTAATTTTTAAATCAGCCCTCGAAAACCGTCAAAATTGAGGTCGGAAAAAAAATGCCGACCTAAATCTGACCTATCTCGGCATTTTTTAAAATCTGTTTCCATGTCTTGGAGCACTAGTAGCCTGTACTAGTAATCACGTATTTACGAATCATTGAAAAGTATAAATGTCACGAAGCCTTTTCTTTTAGAGTTTTACCGAAATTATATCATAAATATACCCGTTAATTCTTAAACCTTACACCAAAGTGCATCGAATTCTATAATCGCTGACTTTTTAACAACTATAAGAACCAAAAAGATTCTTACTTTGGCTGAATTAAGGTCGGCAAAACATTGCCGACATGGGAGGTTGATAGGTCGGCATTTTAATACTGAAGGTCGGCATTGGCGAATGCCGATCTCGTTTTCGAGGGTTGTTAAATTATATATTTTCTGACGAAAATGACCTACCTGTTCATCCAGCAGAAGACACCGAACTAGACACAATCCAATTCAGATGATTAATTGAACTAAAGAACTTCACTATTTTGAACACGTTATAAACATACAAACATGGCTTCCCAATTGTGTGTTAAATAATTCAAACAAATGTTGTCATGTGGTTATACCGGAAATAATGCCCGGAAGTTAATAATATGTTAATTTGATTATATATGATAAATAATAATTCAAAATTGTACTATTTCACTAAGAATTTTCGTGACAAAAATTCAAAAATTATATTGAATTTCAACAAATTGTATTTTTCTGCTTTTCCCCCTTAAACAGTTTGATTACAGAAGATAAATAATTAATAAGTAATAGAACGAATTAAGTCGTACTATTAATGCCATAATCATACTCGTGATTAACAAATCAACCTCCCGCTACGCGGTCGGTTCATTTTGTAATCACTCGTATGATTATGGCATTAATAGCACTCCTATTCGTTCTATTACCATCATTAATCTCCCGAAAAGCCATGCTATTAGTTTGTAATAGCATAGTTGCGCTCCCATTTAAAAATGGACAAACATGCTCTACTTGGAATCAGCGTATTTAAGCTAAAACATTTGCTTCATTGCTTGTGGGATGTAAAAGCTTGTTGCACATGCGCACTTTTTACGCTTTAATCGGTTACGCATGCGCAATCTATCATTTAACGTACCACAACAAAAACGCTAAATATATTAGTATAAAATTGGAGACTGCACGTGCGTAATTTAAATGATGCGGCAACTCAGGGTTAGGATGATAGACTATTGACGGCTCTGAGCTAACTGTTGCTGTTCCTTGCACGAATATGTGCGTGAGGCACTTGCCTAATGCGTAGTCGTCAGGGAGACAAAGGTGTGACCTTTGGTAACGGACGATTAGTTAGTAATCGACCCTGTTGAAACAAAAGAAACCCGGGCAACTATGCTATTAGTTCACTAAGTACTGCAGAATATATTTGGAGTGAGTAAAGTTCGACCGAGCTTTCATATGTTAATTAACCCTAACCTAGTGATAACCTAACTCTAAACTTAAACTTATCCTAACTTACCCCTAACACTAAGTTGACCTTAATCCTAACCTAACCCTAACCTAACCTAACTTAACCTAATCTAACCCTAACCTAACCTTATCTTAATCCTAACCTATCCCCTAAGTTAACCATACCCCTAACCTAACCGTAACTTTCGCCTAACCTTGTCCTAACCCTAACCTAACCCTAACCCTAACCCTAAGTTAAACATAACCTAACCTAACCTAACCTACAGTAAACCTAACTTAAGGCTAACCTAACTCTAACCTTAGCCTAACCTAGTACCAACCCCAAATTAACCCTAACCTAGCCCGAATCTAACTCTAAACTTAACCTAACCTAACACAGTAACACTAACTCTAATCAACCCTATCGTAACCCTAACCTAACCCCAAGCCTAACCTAGCCTAAGTTAATTCTAACCCTAGCCTCCTTCGCAGGGTTTCTTTGCGGGCATTCCCCCATCCGCACGAACGCCTGCTCAAACGAGCGACACATTCCGTTCCCTTTACATGACCATTCAGAGCCGAGATCCTAAAATCCGAGATGTTGACATTCACCTTGACAAATTTACGCGCCATGAAATAAACAAGATGGCGAACTTCGAGGAAGCGTTCAAAAAAGTGTGTGAATTGTTTAAATTAAACGATCTCAATTCGTATCAAAAAGAAGGTTTTGAATTTGTAAAAAATGGAAAGGATAAATCTTCAAACCGGAACTGGAAAATCTATTATTTATCTCGCTCTTCCAATTATTTTTAATTCGATTTCTGCTCGCAGTGATCACATGGGGTCTTCAAACCATGGGTCGCGACCCAAAATTGGGTCTCTAGCACACCCTCGAAGGTCGCAAGGCTTGTCTTGGGTCGCATGGGTCGCAATGCTTGTCTAGGGTCGCGAACTTACACTAGTAAACTTTACAAGACGAGAGATCATGTGATAAGATGCACATATTTACATATGAATATTTCCTTGCGAAATTTGCGATTATAATTAATGTTTTTTCACGATTATTATGCGCTAGATTGCTAGAAGCGCTAGATTGCTAGAATAATATGGTAAACAGGTAAACTGGTAAAGCTTTAGATATAATACCTTTTACTTCATGTAACTCAAACATTATGGCTTAGCACCACTCGGCGCGCCTTCGGCGCACGTCCTCTTCCGAAGTAGAGTCGTCGTCATACACTCGGAAGCTTTCGGTGAAAAGCCATAATGTTTTTAATTATCGAAAGTTTTATTGGCAGTGTTCAGAGTCGCGGGACACCTATGAAGCTTGGGTTTGGGTCGCCGAAAAAAAGGGGTGAAGACCCCTGTTGTAGTGTCACCACTCGTGAGTCTCATGAGAGACCAAGTTAATATTCTTCAACGGCTAGGCGTATCTTCAGTGAATCTCAGTGACGTAAAAGAAGGTGATTTAAAGGACGTAGAAGAAGGCAAATATTCCGTTGCTTATGGAACCTCGGAGGCATGGTTGAAACATGAACGGTGGAGAAATATGTAATCTGGCAGCATTTACGCCCCATTATGGCCTTTGTGATATATGGTTGTTCCATAAACAATTATGCCTCTTTAGGGGGACATCGAATAAGACCTCAATGGCTGCATTTCGCGATACGTACTCAAAGTTACATGAAATGGGGGCACTTGCTCCATCAGTTAAAATGATAGCTCTCACAGCAACTTCAACACAACACACCCGGAAGATAATCATGGATGTTTTGCTGATGGAAAACCCATATATAGCATATGAAAGCCCTAACAATCCAATTATCGCATACTCTGTATGCTACATGCCAAAAGGTACATCTATTGATAAGTACTTTGCATGTTTATGTGATGAACTGAAATTGTTGGGGATTTGTACCACCCGTACTATTACTAACCATATCGAAGATCTATTTTGTATAAATTGTAAATATTTACTAAATTGTAATTGTATTCATTACTAATTATTTTTTTCTCAAATGTAAATAGTCGTAATCCTTAATACTTTTTATGCCTGTAAATATCAAAATAGTGCGAGGGCCGTATGTTAGATAACTTTTACGGTTAATACGTTTTCCCTCGTGAAATAAAGTTTCTATTCTATTCTATTCTATTCTATTCTATATACTGCCAGACAATCAAACAATGCAGTCTAGTCTACAGTACATTTAAAGCAATGCTGGGTAATAGCTTGCTCATTGGTGAATCACATGGAAATAGGAATGTTTTGGTTGAGATGATGCATTCCTGCACTCCAGAAGCCAATAAAGCTTGCATTCTAGATGCTTTTCAAAATGATAAATCTGGAATATTTTTTCATAACTACTCGTGAATGGCATTGAAAACAGATTAAAGGACTCACATGGGTTATTAGAAGAAATGCCATCTCAAGATAAATGTAGAATTTCATCTGAAAATAGATCCATCCAGGTCAACACCCAGGCATGTGTATTTTTCCGTCCTGGGGACGTGTACGTTAATTAAAATTGGGTTCTGAGCAATGTGTTTGTCTGTTTCAAAGTGTTTGTCTGTTTCAGAATTTAATATGCAAATTAACTTGTATTTACTGCTTATCTTTATAAATTAATGTATGGTTTGGATAATAAGTTTTGTATCACATTTACTAAAAGTGAAAAAGCCGTGAATAAGCGGCGAGAATTCCAGCAATTAGTGATATATATATGTAGTTAACTGCATCATCATTTTGTATAACTAATTCATATAATTCGTACATCAAATATTTAGACCGGTCTGCGCTGTTAATTTGCCACTGTCGCAATAATTTATATCCAGTGAGCTCCATGTGAGAGATCAGTGATGTGAAAGATGGCTGCGCAAAAATTTACATCTCTCTTTCTATACTGTTTTTGTCTGTGCGGTAAACACAACACTGCAAGGAGTGTTACAAATTTTCGTGCTTTGACTTTTAGTAAATGGTTTTATCAACTGACAACTATAGATTAGCAATACGGTCCGTTAGAAAAAACCCTGGAATTACCTGGAGAAAATGGTATTAAAATTTCTTGCGACATTCACAGATTTTAGACGTCAACTTTGCAACCCTGTATTCACTGTTCTCATAGTCCGGATGACTGAAGTTCTTGCTAGTCAGTGCACTCCCTGTTTATATTACACTTCCATTGTGAAGCCGGAGGTAGGCGGATTAGCAGATATGCCTTGCTTTGCTGCAATTGAAATAAAAAAAGACTGAACAGTTGCACATATATTACACTTATCTTTATGAATTTTTGTTTCGCATATGCTGATAATTATTCAGTTTGCAGGGGATACAGGGTTCAGAATTTCTAAACTCTCTATATGAATGTTTAATTATTTCTCAAATTTGGCTAATTTTCTAGTTCTCAAATGATCCAGGGTTCAGAATTTCTGAAACTTCTATATGAATTTTTGGATAGCATATATATGCTGATAACTGTTTCTTTTGAAGGAGATCCAGGGTTCAGAATTTCGGAATCTTCTATATGAATCTTTCTTTGGCATGTAATTGAGCTGCCAACTCCCGAATCCACAAGGGTCTGCAGGTTACCCCATTCACCCTCACTATCACAATCGAAAGTGTTCCTTCGCCATTATTTGCAGTCATGAGGTGATTCCTTTCCTTCGGTTGGTTGCACCCAGCTTTGTATCGAATACCTGGTTGTTACGGTTTCGTGGACGAGTGTCTATCTTTATCGAGTCATTGACGAGATTTCGTCCAGTGACAACTTTAGGTTGTTATAGTGCCAGTCCTCCAATTTCGGGGCAGTCCGAACCAAATGGCTTCGTATTCCAGCTAACGTATCCAATATTATTGCAACGTTACCATTTATTTGTTCTAGCTTCCCATTTGTCTCTAATGACTGAATACAATAGGAAATTTTCTCACTAAATTTTTCCAACGTTTGCATCCGAGATGTGAGGCAAATCCAAAATGTGCTTAGCGTACGCTTTGACAATTTCAGACTCTTTTCCGTACTTTGACTGGTGAGTTCTTTTCGCACGGTTATAGCGGCTTCATTTGTGAAGGGCTGGGCTTCGATAGTTGGTTTGACATTTTATCCAACAACTCTCTCGAGTAGGAAAACTTTGTCATACTCGATACACTTGACTTATCGAAATTGGTTCCAAAACCGTTGCCAATCTTAATTTGTGGGTTCCATTGAATTTGTTATTACTAGCTTTGGTCGCTTCGCTTCGAGCCCAAAACTTGACAAGGAACTCGATGTTTCTCCCGTGGCGTAGGAACCGAGGGCACAGGGAGCATGTGCTCCCCCCCCCCCCATTTTTACAAAGGACCAAAAGTGCCCTTTTTTGTGATAAAACGTGCCCTTTTTGTACAAGCTAATGTCGCTGTAAATGCTAAATTAACATCTATGGTGCCCCTTTTGTTTGGAAATTTCGATGTTTTTAAAACCAATTTGGTTAAGAACGTGCAATTTCGGTGTGGTATGACGGAAAAATTTCCTTTTCGGTGCCCCCCCCCCCTCCCCCAATCTTTTGATGCTTCCTACGCTCCTGGTTATTGCGATCAATGTTTCAAAACGAATTATCAAAATTAATGAATACACTCTTCTTCTGGAGTCACTGCACTATATATAAAACAATATACACTCTGCAACTGAAAGTTCAAATTTTAACTTGCAAAAAACAATTCTAGATCTGCCTGCGTAATGTCCGTAAGTGACGATATTTTATATAGGATGGCTCGAGCGATCAGCTTGGTAAAACTCCGTAAGTTTGGCAAAATTCACCTTAGTTTTCGTTGTTCGCCATACGTTTCTATTTTCTACTGCAATTTGTATCACTCCGTGGTCCCCGGAACTGATTTTCGTAAATATAATTTGGCTTAACTTTTTACCGTCATAGAAGCTATATCCAGTCAACTATTTAGATATATCAGTGATGGAAACACGCAATGTTTTGGGAAACTCTAAATTGTATTTCCGACCAAAAAATATCCCGTTGACTTAATTAAAGACGGGTTACAGTCCGTGCTGCGCATGTGCAATTCTTTTTGTTTTGGTAGACTACTTATCTCTCGTTTCCATGGTTTCCAGTTCGATTGCGTAATATACGCGCGATTCTATATTTGTTGATACAAGGAGTGGGAATACACAGTTTCGAAGAGATTTCCAACGATTTGTGACTTTTATGAAGTGAAATGCGATTAATAACAAATCATTGAAACAACATGAGAAGAAAGAAAGAATATTACGCCAACAAGGATGCCTTTAAAGTGTGTTTATTTGAAATTCAGTCAAGCGCTTCGCCATGTCGAAGTTTAATATACTGTCATATAAAAGGTAAATATTTGTTTTACATTTGATTATTTCGTTCTCCAGAGTCGAGACTGGATCTGAGTTTATAATTCAACTTGTTCGAGACATGTATTGATGTATATTTGTAGTACTTCACCTCGGCTCAGTACTATAGCTTAATTCAGTCAAGGATAAAACTGATTTCATCTTTATATGGCGAGCTGTTATCAAAATGCTACTGGGATTGAGTTATTGGATGATTATTGTTTTGTAATTCATAAATCAGGCATCTGCAGATGAACTTTCTGGTAGCAGAATATATTGAATTTTTTTACATGACATGATTGAACGTACTGAATAAAATTTCTATTATGCTGTACTATAGGTTACCTTGAGATCATGGAATCATTACAGATTGTACAACACTAACATTGAATAAACATGGTGATGAGTGTGGAGATGTGGTTATAACAACCATATAGTGGTTAACCAAGCAGAAACAAATTTAAAGAGAGGAATAAATATAGAAGAAACAATACAGATTGGATGCTGATGAAACAAAGATGGAAGAATGTATTGCCTTATAATAACAATTCACATTACATAAGAGCACAAGTATTGTTTATGAGTTGGAATAATTTGATTGAGTTGAGAATAGTTTGATTGACTTGGGAATGTTATCCAGTGCTGGTTGAGAGTCAGAAAATTATCTCCTTAATAACCACCTATAAAATGTTTTCTAGTTCTATTTCCTGTAGCTGGTTTATATATTTCAATATCTTTTTGTATGGATATATGATAACTGATTTCAAGCACCATGTTTCATGCCATGTGAACAAAAATGTAGTATAGCAGTTTTAACATTCTGGCTAAAATAGTTATCTGGCCAACATTGAGATATAAATACTGATAGTTTTGGTGGAGATAACATTACCATCATGTAACATAGTCAGGGGAAAATTGTCTAAATCTTACATCTGCTTTGTTTTGGGAGTTTCATTAGATGTTTAACGGTGAATGATATCACATGTATTGCATTTTATTATATTATATTGTAGTAAAGTATGAACATCTGATCATTAGTGTGATATAAAGCATTATAATATAGCATTTTTAAATTCTGAACGCTGATTGGCTAAGAGCCGTGTTGATATAACTCAATGTCAACACGGGAAATTTTCCGCCGCTTGTAAACACGGAAATTTTCTCATCCTTCGGGCTTTTGACATTGCCATATTATAA